GACAGACTATCAAGGTGCTATAATTCACATGTCCTCTTTCTGGTCAGAATCAGTCGATCGTACATGGTCTCTGAATGACTCCTTATTAACAGACGAGAGTGTGTGTTCAACTATACAAGCAGCCCTAACGGAATACACAATCATTAATAATACTTCAGACATTTCCCCCATGACACTTTGGGAAGCACACAAAGCAGTCCTAAGGGGTGAATGCATCCGGGTTGCATCAGCCCTCATAAAAGCACGACAAACAAACTTAAAAAAGCTAGAAGAGGTTTTTATGACCCGAACTCTAGCATACAACACTCACCCATCCAGACACAACAGAACACAACTAGATACCGCCAGGCGGGAACCTTGCTGTCCATACTCCGTAATCCTATGTTTCTCCGGCCTTGAATCCCCCTTGTCGTTTAGACACTGGGCCTTAAAGGAGGTAACAACAATAGACGCGAAACAGGTAATTCCATTTTCGGAATTACAATCTAAATATAGCCTCCCACCTAATGAAGTATTCAGATACCTTCAGATTAAACATTTCATCCAATCACAAATAAGACTCCCAACGACCCCCCCATGTATGTCCTCATATGAAAGAGTATGTTATCAAGACCCTCACGCCCCAGGTCTGATTTCACAATTATACTCGTCCCTAATAACTGGTACCGGTACGCCCCACCACATGTACATGGACCGATGGCAAACAGACCTCAACATCACAGTCGATGAAGACACCTGGTCTCAAATATGGGAAAGCACCAAATCGTGCTCCAAAAATGCACTGACCCTTGAGGCCAATTATAAGGTGCTCCTCCGTTGGTACATAGTACCCGCACAGGTGGTACATTTTGTGCCGGCATGCGATGGCTTGTGCACTAGGGGATGTGGTGAACGTGGTACATATATGCACATGTGGTGGTCGCCGCATTATGGCGCAAGGTTTTCCAGATTGTATCTATATTAATGAACAAACATATCACACTAACTCCACAGGAAGCTCTCCTTAATGTCAAACCGTCCAGCCTCACCACCACACAATTCAGACTAATGTTACATGTTTTGTCAGCGGCCAAATGCACAATAGCCAAAGCCTGGCTGTCAAAATCCTTAAGTATAACAGAAGTCAGAAATAAAGTCCACTGGACGTTCTACAATGAAAAGCTTACGGCACGCGTACAAGACTCTATGCCCCCCCGTCCTTCGAACGACAGCTCCTGACCCTTTAATACTTAGTTTCCCCCAAAATTAATACATCTTATTTGGACTTCACCAGGGAGGTCTCTGAGGGGCGCTATGCCATCCCACCCCCACCCCAACATGTACATGGACCGATGGCAAACAGACCTCAACACCACAGTCGATGAAGACACCTGGTCTCTAATATGGAAAAGCACCAAATCATGCTCCAAAAATGCACTGACCCTTGAAGCCAATTATAAGGTGCTCCTCCGTTGGTACATAGTACCCGCACAGGCGGTACATTTTGTGCCGGCATGCGATGGCTTGTGCACTAGGGGATGTGGTGAACGTGGTACATATTTGCACTTGTGGTGGTCGTGCCCGGTAGTCGCCGCATTATGGCGCAAGGTTTTCCAGATTGTATCTATTTTAATGAACAAACATATCACACCAACTCCACAGGAAGCTCTCCTTAATGTCAAACCGTCCAGCCTCACTACTACACAATTCAAACTAATGTTACATGTTCTGTCAGCGGCCAAACGCACAATAGCCAAAGCCTGGCTGTCAAAATCCTTAAGTATAACAGAAGTCAGAAATAAAGTCCACTGGACGTTCTACAATGAAAAGCTTACGGCACGCGTACAAGACTCTATGCCCAAGTTTGAGAAAATTTGGGACCCATGGGTTACTCAATTCCTCCCTCCGTCCTTTGATCGACAGCTCCTGACCCTTTAATACTTAGTTTCCACAAAAAATTACTACATCTTATTTGGACTTCACCAGGGAGGTCTCTGAGTGGCGCTATCCCATCCCCCCCCACACTTTCCTGCCTTTTACTTTACCCACTGTTCCCCCCACTTTACTCGGTCTTTCTGGACCAGCCTAAAGATCCTCTGGATCCCTCTGTTACACTAAGTTCTTCAGACAGGACACCTAAAGAAGCTATATGTGTATTTTCGCATATTCACCGATCTGTTCTCTTGGTGTCTGTTCCAAGATTGTCAGTTGAATCCTGATATGCTGTTTGATGTACACGTATATGTCATAAATGTATGTATATGTATACTTTCATTTCAATGTTACATTCTTTTCATTGGAAAAATTTTAAAAAACCAATAAAATATTTTGAAAAGTAAAAAAATAAAATAAAAATAAAATCTTTAAGCATCTCAAATTGTTTGATCACAGCAGTTCAGCATCTGGTCATAGAGGGGTCAACGACAGCTGCTGCAAATTTCACTTTAAAGGCCTGTCATTCAAATATAGCAGTTACCTACAAATTCTTCCTCCTTTTGGCAATCGTTATTTGTATACATTTGCCAGGTAACATTGCCTGAGGCTTTCAGGATTTAATACTCCTACTTCAGGAATAGTTATAACTATATAAAGCAGAAATCTATTTCGCATACGGAGTGAGTGGGACACTACACCCCTTTAAATTCAATACAACAACATATACCCAGTTTCCCCGAAAATAAGACCTACCCCAAAAATAAGACCTAGTACTATTTTTGGGAAGTGCTAAAATATAAGACCTACCCCGAAAATAAGACCTAGTTGTAACCATTCCCAGGGCCGGTGGTGGCATAAGAGGGAACTTGAAGAGCTGCCTCCTCTATAGCGCCGCCTCCTGTCACAGGCGGAGTGATGCCAAAGGCACTCCGCCTGTGAGGAATTGATAGTGAAAGTGCACTTCGCTCATTCTGGCCAGCGATTGGTTAGCAAATTGCTCTTGGAAAGGTACGGCACCCCTGATTGCCCTGATCACCATATTTTTTACATGAATACGTGTGGATTGTTGTGCATTAAAAAAAAAAAAATAAGACCTACCCCGAAAATAAGACCTAGTGTGTTTTTTGTGCCCCAAAAAATATAAGACAGTGTCTTATTTTCGGGGAAACACGGTAGCACCAAATGGAGCTTTTTAGGTGCCAAAGTCTTTTCCAAAATCATGTCTGATTAAAATGCTCTTTTATTACTACATATTAAAACATTTTCTTTACAACAATAATATGTCTGACCACCTTATTAAGTTACAGTCATAATACATATTTTGGGTTCCATGCATATGGGATAATGTGAATACCAAAGAATAGTGCAATCCTCTATATTAGCCTGCAAATATGACATAAAGGGGTTGATTTACTAACCTTATAAACACGCCACGAACAAGTATACACCTCTGTAGTGTGTTCCCTCCCAGCATGATCTATTGGTGGAATCTAGACACCTTTGCACAACACACCCAGCAGGTGTGTTGTGCAAAGCCCTGCATGAATTGCAAGGTGATGTTGTGTAAATTAGCTCTACATTGTGCTGCTTGCGTTGATGAATGCAGGAATGTAAATGCATGAGCTAACCATTTTTGTCTAAACTGTGAAGCAGCATTATATATGCATCATGTGCATGATTTTTCCATATATGGCATTAGTGGAAATATGCTTTTAGAGACTTTTTGGTTGATAAATATGTTTTGCTGTGTAAAAATCACACGCACCTAGTGCGTGCGTGTATTTAGGTTAGTAAATCAACCCCAAAGACTCAACATGTTTCACGATAGTGCTTCAAGAGTCATATGAATCCACAAATGGACAATTACATGTTAATGCCATACAACATATGAATTAGCACAAAACATGCATATTTTGATCATTATCCTGATGGTGATAAAAAATATGCATGTTTTGTGCTCATTCTTGTTATGTAATATGCCTGTAACTTAATAAGGTGGACAGACATAATATTGTTTTAAAGAAAATGTTTTAATATGTATTAATAAAAAATCATTTTATTCAGACATGAGTTTGTAAACGTTTTTGGCACCTAAAAAGCCCCATTTGATGATATATGTTGTTGCATTAAATAGTTATAACTTGGGATGCACTGATATATCGGCCGCCGAAACATATCAGCCGAAAATGGCACTTTTGGCATAATGCCGAAAGTGCAATTTTCTGGCCGATAAAACGGGGCATCCTTTCTTTCTCTCCTCCCCGCTGGGCGCTGCTCTGCGTCCGGCTGGGAGGAGAGAAACTGTCACAGGCGGACAAGCGCTGTGGGAGGAGAGCACTGTGACCGGCCGGCGTCTCTCCTCCCAGCACCGCTCAGCCTCATGTCACAGATCAGAGGAGAGCAGTGTGGGCGGAGACAGCCAGCGCTGTCACAGCAGGCTGAGCTCCGCTCGCGCAGCCTCCTGTGACAGCATGTCAGGATGGAGAGCGAGTACAAACACTCGGCGATCAGTGATCGCTGAGTGTTTGTAAATAATCGAGGACATGGTATGTTGACTATATCCTCAACTATGAATGAATGGGAAGTGATCTATCCCCTCCTGTTCATTCATGATTGTGGTTATAGTAAACATACTCTGAGCTCATGTTATGAATGAACAGGAACACTCAGTATAGAGGCTTCCTGTTCATTTATAACAGGGGCTGCAGAAAAAGAGATTGAGGACTCTGTGTTCTCAATCTCTTTTTCTATTTTAAAAGGGCAATATCAGGGGTCTGTTTATATTTCCCCGAAGCCCCTAAAGGTAAAGTAAAAAATACAAATATTTAATAAAAAATTAATAAATATAAAAAAATGAAAAAGTTTATAAAAAACAAATAAAAATGAAATATTTTTTAAAAATTGATAAAGTTAAAATAAAAAACATTTTCGGTTTCGGCCTGACATTTTTTTTATTTCGGTTTTGTTTCGGTTTTGACATTTTTATTTCGGTGCACCTCTAGTTATAACTAATCTTTGAGTCATTGGGCTCCATCAAGAAGGTAAAAACACCACCAATTTTTAACTAGAAATAATGACACCAAATGTTAAACACCTCTTCATTCTTTATTAGTCAATCTTTGTATCCTCTCCCTTCTTTAAAAAAATAAAAACATACCAAAGACAAGAAAAGGCCAAATTTATAACAAAATTTACCAACCCCAAAGTTTATAAACACAAATAACAAAAAGATTTAAAAAACATTGTATTCTTCTGCTCAGACTGCAATAATTGCAGCGTAAGTGGTAAAACCTAACGCTTTTAACCCATGTGCAGCCAGAGGGGCCTGGAAAACCCTGCTCTGCAATACTTTACAGGCTCCTGATGGCGGAGATAAGGGTTAGTATCTGTCACTTCCCGAGGGACCTGCTGCTCTAGAAATTGTGACACAAGTGCCGTGCCCTCCTAGTAAAAATGGAATGTGGTTGCTTAACATTATAGCTGTACTACTAGCAGTTGCATACATGGACTCACAGTTAGTTGTCAGAGGCGCTGGAAGTAGTGAAAAGCTCCATGGCAGAATGGGGTCATAAATCTACTGGAAAGTGGAAATATAAGAAGGGAGGACTGGGATGAAGCAGGTGTTACTTAGAGGGTCAGCATCTCTCTAGGATAGACTCTAGTGCTGGGATCTCTGACACTAAAAAGATAACCTGACAAGCACCAGTTGCTAAAGTATAGGAGTCCATAGTGCCAAGAAACCCTTTCAGAAATGTAGTGAATAGAACAGCATTGCCCTCCAGGCCATGAATGTGAGCCTGTGTTGCTGGGATTGCTACAGCAATGAAAGGGTTAAATGCTTTTCTTGGCACAACCTGCAGCAAGTCCAAAGAAGAAATAGCACCATATTGATTAACCTTGTAAGCCTCCCTCCCCTTGTGGAAGGGCAGGCTGGCAAGGGGAGAGAGTAAGAGGAAGGGCAGTGCATCCTGGGTTGTCTCCTCTTGAGTGGTAAGAGTTGTTCTCTATTATGTTCCAATTACAGAGACTACACCGGGATTCAGAGGTGCTGTGGATGAGACAAGGAGCAGAAAATCAATTTATTTGTAGACAGATTACTTTTAAAAACAATAAAAAATTGTATTTTGAATTGTTGCTGGTTCTATGGTAAATATAACTCATTGAATGTGTTTGTAAAGGCAACATTTTATTTTTAGTTTTTGATAGAGCATGGCAGGATTAGAACCCCAACCAGTTTTTATTGCTGTCTTTGTTGCCACTGGGGAGATTCACTATTTTCATTTGTCATTGTGATCACTGTCACCAGGACTGAAAGTAATGGGGAATGCAACATTTTACAGTCATCTCTGGAACAGGAGGTAAGGGGAAATCTTCAGATGGCGACATCTGTTCTGGTGACCGCTGCTTAAGAGAGGATTTACATCACCTTTGAGACCATTCTTCTCACTACCTGTAGTGTTTTCAGGACAGCAATGAAGGGAAATCTCCCCAGTGGTACACAGATGACAGAAAAACACAATAGGGATGTCAACCATTGCTTCGGTTAACCATACATGGATGGTGTTTCAGCCAAATCCTGCAGAATTAGCTAAAGTTTGATCTGTGGGTGGCCCTGTTGACACCAGGTACCTTGCTGTTTAGTGTCAATGAGGGAATCTGATGATTTCACTTGTTCAGCCCTTCTTAATGTGAATGGCTATCCTTACCCTATCCAAGATTTAAAAAAAGTTGGGGCTTTAAATATACTTTAATAAAACATATACTGTACGTTATGAAACTGTATTACTGTTACATGCACATTTTAAAGTATTTAAAACCATTTGTATTTCGATCTGAACAGACTGGAAATTTCTGGGCTATGTTATAGAATCCATCATTCGAAGTGCAATTTTAAATAACTTCAGCTCATGGATCATAGGATATCATTACAAGTCTAACTGTAGGTATAATAAATGAAATTTCAGTTCCATGCTTGAGCAAATTCCTGCACTTCAATGTTTTCAATGTCTTGGTGTTGTAAAATGTTCTGCTGTTTCCTACTATTCCCATGGGGTGATGTAGCGCAGACTACATATTAAATACCCAAGTTACAATTCAAATATGTCTTTTCCCCATGTCTCCCCCGCCTTCTTTCCTCTGCACATTTCAGTCTCTCTCTGTACTCTACGCCTCTACATTAGGTAAAGGGGCAAAAATACATAAATCAGCCTGTGTGGAGGAAGTACACTGCTAGATTGACTTCCTATGGGCAAGAGCAGATAGTGTTGTCCTGTGTACGGAGTGTATGAAGGTGGGGGGCATAGTGACATCAATGACTGGAGAAGGACCACCAACCCAACAGTCTCCCCTTCCCCAGCTTCTATGTTTAAAGGATGAGTTCACCTTTTGCAAAAATTAAAGAAATGCATAATTAATAATATATTTTAAAAAATGAATTTCTTTAATATTTGCATTCAAGCCTGGAAAGCATTGCAACAGTGATCACTTGATCACAGCTGCAAAGCTCAGGGTTCTGCACATTTTCAAACTGGCAGAGCTCGTACAGAGGTACGGAGTTTCAGTAAGGAGAAATGGGGGGAAGGACGGCTGGACTTCAAACTGCATTAAATCACCTCATTTGACGTCCAGCCGTCTTCGCTCTAGGTAGATGCGGGAATATGGGCTGCTCTACCTTGAGCGAGGATGGCTGACGCCGAGTGAGGTGAATAAAGCTTTCAATTTCAAATTTGGGTTAAAATCTCTAAATATAAATTTCACGCTGTACCACCTGCTGGTGAAATCTGGAATTGTTGCAGGACCATGTAAAATTAAACTTCGGTCCAGCAATGACTGTAAACAACAGCAGAGCTGTGTCCAGCTGTTGTTGCAAGAGGACTGTGTTGGGTGGTGAAGAACACCTGTTTTTACATGGATTTGTCCTATTCAGATTAGGAGTAGAGGGGACTAAATGAGAGGAACACTGATATTTTCAAAGACCAGGGCACAGAAAATGCTACAACTGAATATAAGTAGGCCCAAAACTTTTTTTAAGTTACATAAGTGCTTACTTAAATATTTTAAGTGTACACTGGCCATATCTGTAGATCAGCCTTTCTCAACCAGGGTTCCGTGGAATTGTATGGTTCCTCCAGAGGTTGCTAGGGGTTCCTTGAGCAATTAGCAATTTCTGACTCTAAGGGGTCTATTGCGGCAGCTGAGTGAATGACCGACCTAAAGGCTGGTACGGCTGATTTCAGCCGTATATCGGCTGAAATCAGCCGTGCATCGGGTGGCTTCGCATGGCTTCGGGTCGGCCGAACATGCTCAGCATGTTCGGCTGACCAGAAGTGCAGAAGGAGTTCAACTCAGCCGATCCAACATCTGGATCGGCTAAGCCGAACCTCAGACAGGCTACTCACTGAATAGCCGAATGCCGCTGAGCTGCATTCGGCTCGGCTGTTCTGCTCGGTCTCTCTGTGGGACCGAGCAGAGCAGAAAAATAGTTAAAAAAGTAGAAAAATAAAAATAGAAAAAGACTGTGCAGATCTAGCAATGACAGCTAGCTCCACCCAACAGTTTTCTATTGGCTATTGCAAATTGAAATAGCCAATAGGAATCTAACAATGCATTCCTATGGCCAAACATTTTTAAAATGTTTTTCCTATTCTGACACGGCTCTGTGTCAGAATAAAAAAAAAAAGAAAAAGCAGTGTTTTTCTCCTTCGCGGCCTGGAGCGGGAGACTCCCGGAGCGCCCGGGAGAGTTAGGCTGTCTGGAGATCAGCTTCGGCTTTTAGCGCGCCTCAGCCGAGCCGAGGCATATGCCATCGGCTCGACTGAGCCGCTGGGCCACGTTCGGGAGCTGTACGGGCTATAGTGAATAGCCCGTATAGCAGCGCTTCGGTTCGACTGAAACGAAGGTGTCCTGGGGCCGAAGCTAGCCGAAGGATCGGTCGAAGCTACGGCTAGATCCTTCGGCTGCTTCATGAATAGACCCCTAAGTCACCACTATCTCCAATGTTCATTTTAGATATCTGGAAATGAAGATTCTTCCCAGTGATCACAAATGTGGAGAGCATTCTTCCCATTAACCATCACACTAATGCACCTTAAAGTAGTAGTAAGTATGGAGAAGGGAGGAGAGGGGGCCAGGGTGGAGGGGAGTAGCTTGATTTGCTGTGTCTGTATGTTTGTGGAGACACACAGCTTACTAGCACACACAAGGGTGACTGCATAGCACTCTGCTTGAGAAAGGAGTCACTCTAAAACAGGATATCAGGGCCAGTGCTCAGGGGGCCAGCTGATTCTGCAGGAAACTAACACTTTTAAACATCAAGGACCAGCATTCAATGTAGGTGATTTCATCAGCACTTGAAATAGCTTAAAGTCCTTTTGACTTTAATATCACTTTAAGCTTTAGATATAGTAATTATTGGCAGGGGTTCCCTGAGACCAAAAAGTTATTTCAAGGGTTCCTCCATGGTAAAAGAAAATAAAGCTGCGTGTAGATGATTCCCCCTAAAAATGATCCATGTCATTTTTATTTGCTTGTATTAATTACTCACCTGTAATACAAATCTTTTCACATTCTTTCTGTGTGCCGAACCTGTTCTCATTTCCTCCACAGCCACCATACCAGAATCGTGTGCAGCTCTTGGTTTCTGAATCATAGTACCACTGTAGCATAAAATCCCTGCAGGTGCCTTCCTCTTTCTGCAGTTTACATGCCTCAGGTCCTACTGGGGAAAAGAAACAATGGTTTAATAACATAAGAAACCAATGAAGGTAGAAGTTATAATAGTAATCCACATAATCATTTTTGTACATGGTAGGTCTAGTCTTTTTTAGTTCTGGTTGTAGATATCATATTACTAAACTTTCAAAATACTTTGAATGTTCCATTTAGCTTTTCTGTGTGCTTTATATTCTGGTAACTGTCCGACACTATATGGTTAGTGTTGTTGCATGAATCACAAGTCAATCCATTTTACATAGTGAATTATTGTTCCTTGAAAATGACACTGACATCTCAGTTAGCCAAATGCATTTTAGTACAAATGAAGGGATTAAAATTAAAAGAGACCATACTGACATATATAAAAATCTGAATTCCACTTGTTATAATATTGCAGCACTACCTGTCAAAGATTACTTGGATTTATAATTATTTAATTTTATTTTCTCCCTATTGGTGTGTCAGACTGTAGCACTGTCCCATCTTCTTCCTAAGCTCAACGCTGATAACAGACACCAAAAAACATCATATTACAAGCTGTTGATATTATATGAAAAATAACTACTGGCTTTGGGAAATTACAATTTGCCCTTCTCCTACAGCCTGGAGAAATCATTAGTTTACTAGCCCTGAGCTTAGCCAGGAGACAAAACACCTCAATACTGAGCTGACATTTTTGCTCTGTCAAGTAGAGAATACAAGTGGATAACACACATTCCATCCCTGAGGTATATTGGTGCACTGTTAAAAACAATTTAAGAATGAGACTCAGATCATTACAAATTCCAATTCCTGATTGGTTCTATTTACAGTGAAATGAATGAGTTACTTTCTTTTTAAATAACATTTATTTGCCCTGGCAAGAAGAGAATACAAGTACATAACAGCACACATACCATCCCTGGGAATACAGCTGCACTAGTTTGAACTGATTATGGGAGCATTTAAAATGTATTAGCAGACGCACTTGCTCTGCAGTTTACCTCCTTTTGACCTGCATTTGACCTGCTTTCATGCGGATTTTGCAATACCAAAGAATTGTATGGGAATGCAAAACCCATTTGATGCAAACAAAAGCCCATTATCACAGACCCTAAGAGTAAGGCTTCAGATTACTATAAATACCATTTTTTTTATTATACTGCTTTCATTGTGACTGAGATTTTTGTTTTGACAGTAAGAGCATACAAGTAAATACCAACAAGCATATCATCCCTACTGAACAAGGCAGCACTATTATACCAACTTGCAGAGATTCAAATCATTACAAAAGGTGATTCTTGATTGGTTCTATTTACAGTTAAATGAATCACCTTTCTTTCATTTTCCATAATTTCATTTTTGTCCTGACAGGAAGAGAATACAACATACATTCCATTCCTGCGGAATACGGCTGCACTACTATAACAATTTAAGGGTGGAGATTCAGATTGTTACAAATGCCAATGCCGACTGCTTCTTTTTACAGTAAAGTGAATTATTTTGCTTTCTGAATGAATCAATAAAATAGACATGACTAACTGAAACAACTGGACCATCTATGATGCAGCTTTGTTGGCTCAAGGTTCAGGGAACTAAACACATAAAACTTAAAGACATTTTTAAAAATGTTGCAATGTAGAAGCTTTGTCAGTTCAGGATTCAGCTTCAGGATTAAACTGTTGTAAACTGTGATTTGGATCATTAGAATGATCCGGTACTATTTTAGAACTTCAAAAAGAATCTCCTCCACTCACACATTTCCGCCCCTCCACCCTCCATTCTTCATTACACCACATGTGCAAGCATTAAAAAAAAGGCAAGTTTCTCACGCACCACTTGAGATATCTTGATATGCTGCAAATGCATGTATGTTGGACGCGATCCACTAAATGTCAAGATGTAATTGGCAATATATCAAATTAAAATGAAAACCACATGTAGTTAGATGAGACTGAAATGACATCAGCCCCATCTTGTCCGTTTTCCACTCTGATTGGTTGCTCCATTTCTTTTTTTTTGTTAATCTGCATTGAATTTATAGGCCTCTGCTTGTTATCTTAGCATCCTTCATCTGTATCCAAATCCCTAAATAGAAAATAGCTAATGCAGCTACTCCCGCAGGGAATTCTGGGTAAACTCAAAAGAATTGTGGAGCAGCCATCTTTATGTGTAATAAACCAAATGTATATGTTTAATCTGGCACAGATGTGTAATAATCTGGCAATCTGAAGTCATTTAGCCTTGTACTCAAGAACCATATAAAAGCTAAAACTAAATCCTAAAGCCTTCATTATGGAATTCTGGGTAACACTATAGATGGCTTGCATCTGGTGTGTATTTATGGCTGGAGGCTTATGTACGCCTCATGAGCAGCTTTTAAAAATAAATTAAAGACGGCCTTAGAAGTGCTATGGTATCTTGCAATTGCTTTCATTTTCTCCATATGCATTAGCTTCTTAAAATAGTAGAGTTAGTGTGTCTCAACCCATGGACAAAAGCGTAATCTAGTGCAGTTTACCAATCCTGAGATGTGGTGGCTGCATTCATTTTCTTTTAAATAATTGTTCCCTTGATTTTCACCTGATGATCCTGCCAGTAACACTTCCTATCCTAGGGCAACAATGCTCAATCACTGCACTGTATCTATGGAGGATCAGTGTTGTCACTCTAGGACATGACTACAGAACACCTCCCCTCTTTTCATTTCCATAACATGCATGGAGGTTTTGTAGGCCACAGAACTGAATAGGGCAAGGACACTTGATATAAGACCATAGACTGCACAGAACAGCACTGGATTTCAGGCAGGAATTTTGTTTTATGCTTTCATTTGTACATTCACCCAGGTAAAGACTGAATTTTTTACATCCAAGCTTTAATTTGTACATTCACCCAGGTAAAGATTTTTATGTATGTCTTTTAAAATACTAACATCTGTTTGTTACTTGAGTATTTTTCAAATGTTTAGATGGCAAACATAAAGGGCCGAAGGTAATTGGCTATTTAACTCTTTAAACTATTGTACATATCAGTACAATAGTTTAAAGAGAACTATGAGGTAAGTGTTTTTTGGGGAAAAACACGGGTCACGGGACGACATATACTAACCTCCTCCCGTGACCAAAAGCTCAGTATATCGCAGGCTATTGCCCGCGATATACTGAGAGAGCCGCGACGTATCCCGACAATACTGCCTGGATCCAACCAGCTAGCTAATTGACAGAGCCAGCTATCTAGAGGCAGAGCCAGCTGTGCCCGCCCCCAGTCACCGCTCACTGTAGGGAGACGATCGGGAAGTGAGCCGATCAAGAGCCGATCAATAGAGCTGACTCTAACTATGAGGATAAGTGGAAATCACTCACCTCATAGTTCTGCTTTAAGTCAGATGACTGAACGATGAATTCTGATTGGTTAGGTTAATATTTGGTGATAAGTAATTGTAATAAATAAATTGCACCTAATTGTGAAGTTTATTGCAGTATAATAATATTCTATTAGAACAATACGCTTTTGAACATGTGCAGCACCACTAAGTAGGATTTGCAGCCTGCATATGGAATTGTAATCTATAACATACCAATGTACCTATATCATTGCAAACTTTACTCTAATATAGTGTTTTAAAATATTACAACGCACTGTTATGATTATGCACATTTTTTTCAAAAAAGTTCAATATTATGGTGTCCCTGATAGAAAACAAGTCCTTGTGTGGCTAATTGTTTTTATCTCAGAGGTCATATAGGACCAGTGCTGAATGTACTGCTTGATATTTATCTCCCTTATCTCTTCTGCAAGTCCCGAGGGTGCCTCTGTATCTACTTTGGATCTGCTTGATATCTAGATAGGGGAAGAATAATAATGACTCAAACTGTTTCCCTTTAAGGGCTAAGCTACACAGGCATTATTTAATTTATCTTGGCAAGCAATATAACGTCATAGACACTACAAGCCATTGACATCATTGTTCTGCGGAGGAGGAGATTGCTGACAATGGGTTAAAGATACTCCTTTAGGCATTTATGCCCTAGCCTTTGTGTGGTGTTGTTGAATAGGTTTATGTAGCAAAATTAGTTATTCAACACATTGTTATTGTTGTTGTAAGTTAAAGAGAAAACTTTTTAAAAATGTATTCTGCAGCTTTAGCACAATTTTTTGGAGTGTGAAAGAGTTAGAACTGCCTATTGTTATTGCTGCCTATGAGCCCATTGGAGACATTTTCCTTGCATTCAGTTCAGTTGACACCAGGTAAAGGATTGAATGGAGGTGGTGTCATGTGGTCAGGCATTATTAGTAGAGGATATATAAGTTGAATCTTTGACTTCCTCAACCTTTTTACTCTAGAGAAACCCTTGAAATAATTTTCAGACCTCAGGGAACCCCTGCTAAAACCAACTCAATAGGGGTAAATGGGAAGAATGCCCCTCACATTGGGAGTTAACAGGAAGAATTACCCCCTCTCAGTGGTGGTCAGACTGTCCCCCTGTAGCCACAAGCCAAGGAATCCATAGCAAACTCTGGAGGAACACTATGGTTCCATGGAACCCCGCTTCAGAAAGAACCCACATGGACGTGAAGACACCAATGGTGATACAGCAATACATGCTTGACAAAGGTTCTAATCCTTTCCTTCTTAAGAAGAAAAAAATGTTTTTTGTTGATTATTAACTGGAACCTTCAACAATAAAATGTTTTTTCATTCAGGGTTTTACTTATTGTGCTTTTTCAAATACAAATCTGAGCATTTACCACTTCAGAACATCACCATTGCAAACATTTTTCTGGTGTTTTTGAATTGGTGCGTGTAATAATTAATGTCTATGATTTTTAACGGACTTGATAGCCAAAAAGGAAGTAGACTTGTATAAACACCATCAGAAAAGTTAAATCTAGACCTCTTCCTGATAAGTCCTACCAAATGTTGAAGAGGCGACAAGGGTTGTGTTTTATGCCTTCCAGTTTATATAAATATGCTCTAGAGATACTTTAAGCATATGTAGGAGTTTTACATGATGTTAAGCAGAAGACCACTTATGAAACACAATGTGGACCATAAACTAAGCAGGCCTTACTTCCTCTTTTCTGTGATCTCTACTGCATGTTACCATGTAATAGTTGTATGCATTTCCATTTATGCATCTCTGTACCCAATCCATGAGAGAAAGAGGATCCAGGCACTCAAATACCTACAGAGCTGTATTTCATAAGTACAAATACATGTACCTCATAACACATTAACGAGGATTGTTCTAACAAAGGCTAGTTACATTCATGTTTCGATAAATATTTGTTTCATATAATAGATAATTAATGTCCTGCATATAACAGACATCACTTGATTAGTAGGTGTCTGCTGAACAGGTTTAGTTCATAGAAGTAATCGGGTGGAACATATGACATAGGAAAGGTGTATTTTATGTTAAATATGTGGAAACATGTATGGATTATGTTTTAAGGGACTGAAGGATTAAAGGCCCATCATGATTGTAAAAAAGCATTTAAATTACTTTACCAGAGTACAATATCCTAAGAAGGGCTGCAGTACTACCAACAGCTATGCGGCAATGATGTGCAGATGTATGGCAAGGAAGCAGAAGAGAATGTACATCTTCAATACTGGTACTGGACATATCAGTGGAGTTGCACAGAGAATTGTATTAGATTGTTTTAGATTTTGTAAAATTATGATTTAGTAAACTACATCTTACATCTACATCTTAAAGTTGCATCAAAGGTTCCAGAGTGCAATTAAAAATGCATCAATATTTCCAAAGCTCTGTGTAGCTGTATTGTACAATGTATATAAGTTGTAGTCACTTCAGCTTAGTACTGGCAGTTAAGAGCACAAGGGCACTAAGTGGTTAGCACTCTTGCCTATATTTCTCCCTATGTCAGGGTGGGTTGATTGTTCCACTGTCCTCTCACAATCCCAAACATTTTGGTAGGTTCATTGCCCCTAGTATGTGTATGAGTGTGGTGGGGACATTAAATTGTGATCTTCTTCAGAGGATAGAAAGTGATATGAATAGCACTGTGCACTCTGCAAAGTGCTGAGTAATGTGTCAGCACTATATATAAATACTAGAAGTACAACTGACAAATCATTAAAATCAGGCTCCCACAATAGCTGTTCTAGCAAATATCTGAGCTACCAGATTGCCACTCCAGGTTAGCAACAGCAAGATTAATTGATAGACTAGTAACAGACAGAGATAGCAAGCTGAAAAGCACACTTACGTATAGCAAAGCAGAAATGGAACACAAATACAACTATTAGCAGTCTACTATAACAAAGCTGAAGCACAACCAGAAAAGCACAACCACATACAATGAAGATGAAAACCAGTATGAAAACCAAAAACAAATACACATGATACATGAAGGTCAATGACAAAGACAAAACACCCCCACACATTTTATATATACATATATCTATATATATCTATATATATATATATAGATATAGATGTATCTATATATCAAATCTACACTACAGGGTAGATGACAATGCAAGACAATGCTTAAGACGTGGCACATAAACGAGATAACAACTGCAGTTGAAACTCCTGTTCATTGCTAATTAATTTGTTCTGACATACATTACTTAGAGATCCTGTTGTAGAGAAGCAATGGTATGCAAAGTGCAATAACCATAACATGATTCAGATTTGAGTTTACTATAATCAGATTGGTCACAGATAAATTGTGATTTGTTGCCTATGGGTTATTACACTGAGCATATTGTACTTTACATTACTGGTATCCTATAACTACCAGTGGGTCAGTAACCATTGCACGGGGCAATCACAGAGGTGGGAGCAGCAGTTTTCTTTTATGTTTAAAGTTTAAGAGTACAGAAGAATGCAGTGTTTCAGCTCACTCAGAACCAGGAATGTCATCAAGACAGTATTTATAGGTGTGAATCACTGAAGCCCATGAAGCCGTTATATATAAGTATTAGTTTGAGCCATGGAATGTTTACCTGTAGCAAGAGTAGCTTAGTTTTATTTGCAGTTTGCAGATGTATAGGTCTTTTAGGATTAGCTGCATTTTCCCTCATACACGAATTGCCAACACATATATTTCACACCATATTTTTTAATGGAAATACATTTTGATAGTGGCATTTGGGGAAAAAAGAGTTTTGGCAACTGGCTATTTCGGTAAACAGTAGTACATGATGATTAGATTGTAAGCCCTAATGGGCAGGGCCCTCCTTACCATCTTGTCTTGAATTGTATTGTAATTGTCATGTCTTCCTTATATTGTAAAGTGCTGCACAAACTGCTGGCAATATATAAATCCTGTATAATAATAATTAGGGAAAGTCCAGGTTCCCTAGGTCCTACTGAAATCCAGTCCAATGAAAGACCTCCACCTCCTTTTTACCAAGTTAGCCAGGCCAAATCTTGTCCCCTTCCTTTTTATGTTGTTTTTTGTGGCATTCATGCTGCTCGGCAACTATATAACTGTTCTTTTCCAGAGGCCATCTCCAACCATAGAGACCTTCATATACATATCAATGTGTCTCTGGATGAAACCGCTGACATTGTGCCAAGTAGCTCAATCTTTGTATGCGTTCAAGAAACTAGTGGTGAAAAAAGGGGGTGAAAATGGCAGAATCAGACTTTTCGACAACCCCTGTTGCTATGTCACTGTCCTAATTTATATCCATGCAAACCTTAAACAAAGGCCTTAACCAACAAAAGTATACAATGGCACATACATATATTATAACTATATATAATATACTAAAAAGTAAAAACCCAACCCCGTTCACACAAATGTTTTATGTTTTTCGTTTTAACAATAGCCATGAACACGTAATGTAGTCACAACTAATACAGTGGAAAATGGACAAGAGATTTGGCTGGACATTAGCGCTATTGCACAACGCGTGTCACCTGATGTAATTGGCCAGCTCCGTTAGCTGAGATCTCCCTGTACCATGATGTTGGCTTTGTCATTACCTTTTCCCTCATGCAAAAGTTCATGTGTCCCAAGTAGTGTACACTCACATGTGCTTTAGTTTATTTTTATGAAGTTTGCATCTGTTTGGGACTGACTAACAAATGAAAAGCAAAAACAGATCCATGAATCATTTTAATGAAATATTTTAGAAACAAGCTGTAGTCTCACATGTGGGCTTTGCTTGCTCAAACAATTTCCATGACTTGGGAATACATTCTTGGGATGAAGAACAAATTCGAAGTAACCATTCCCCATTACCCTCCTAGTAAGCCACATTATATGAATACTGGTTTACAGTTAACTTTTTCAAGAGATAGTTAAAAAATGAGCAGAAACTTCTGCAATGTTTCATGTTTTTTTTTTCAATGTATTGTGCTTATTTACAACGTGTGTAACAGATCATTTTACCCCAACCAAACAAAATAAAAAATAAAATAAAGAAAAACTATTAAGACCTGCTTTATAACATCAGGAATTACCATAGCTTCACAGTGTCCATACAATGGACCTAATACACAGTGATAACTTAATTCACATAGCAATGCTGCACTTCGCACCACCCCTTACTTTACAGTGCTTTATTCCCATAGCTCAGCCAACACTATGGGGTTTTATTTACTAAAAATGTAGAGGCTGTTGACTTAGCAAAGTGAATGTTCACTTTACATAGTGAGTGTTAGTAAATAAGGTGAACTTGTCACTATCAAAGCCCAATCAAATGCAAGAGAATCAAAAACAGCACCATTTTTTTCATTTATGTGATTCCTGATTGGATTGAACACACCATATTCAGTAAGTTCAAAAAACATTAATTTTGCTAATTGAACAGTCTCTACTCCTTTAGCAAATTAATCCCAATATCTCACTATGGGGCTTCTGTATGAAAAAATGTGCTAAACAGAATATTTCTTGTTGTCCATAGCAACCAAAATCCAAGTGCCTTTCAGTGTTAAAGATGAAACAAGATTTCTGATTGGCTTCTATGGCAACAATAAATGTTCATGTTGACACGATTTTGTATACATAAACCCCTAACTGTTTTAGCTTTGGAATGGTAAATTTTGTGTTAATCTGAGCTGAATCAAAGATCTAAAATGCTTTGGGGTGTTTCAACAATGCCTGTGCGAGTGCAAGAGGTTGAACCTTGAAGTGGTAGTTGTCTGATGCCTCAAAAAAAAAAAAAATGGTATCTTTAATTCACAGAAGTCCTCTTTTGATAAAGGTGAGCTTTGTCTGGGTGAATCCTTCTGCGCCTGAACAATGGTCTCCTGACTAGGCGTCTGGTGTAATTACCTGGGAATGCTTTTGTTTCCAACGCTGGTAGCTGCATGGATTTCTCAACCACTAAGAAAAAAAGAATATGTTTTATTTAATTAGATGGTAAACTTGCAATTAACTTGGAAAAGTGTAATATGGAATAGTGTTTATGCCCCCTTATAATGGAAATTCTCTTGAATAAGGTTCAGAAAATGATGAGGTTCAAAATGACCTGCGTCTACATTTCTAGAAAGAAATTAGCAATTAGCAAAGCAAAATAAAAGGCTTGTTATTCTATAAGCACCTAGAAAGCGGGAGCAATGAATTATTAGTTACTGCAAGCAAATGAAACGTGTTTGTGAGTGCTAAAAAGCCTCTGAGCTTCTAGATCCTTGGTGCCACTGAGCTTCTATATCCCTAGCAAACAGGTGCCCAGCTACAATCTGGGAGTCATATATGGCCCTTTGGCACTTACCAAGGGGTCCCCTGCAAACAGTAGTCTGTGTTTCCTTCACCGTTTCTTTCTTTTTATCTTTTAGAATATCTTTCTGTCTATGTTGGGAATATGCCACCCTAAATAAACTCTGCACATGTAAAGTCTAATCACAGTATATGACATATAGAAGCAATGTAAAGATCACATTTTTGTTCTACATTTTTATTGCCATAGCCGAATAAGCAGCAGTTTCAACACCTTCTAATTACATCTCCAACGATAGTGCAGAAAGTTACAAGGAGCCAAGAGCTTTAGACTCTTCAGTGTGCATCAACACAACAAATAATTATTAAAAATGGCTGCATCCAGATTGGATTTTCATGTTGCATTGTAACGTTACTTTAAGCAAAACGATAGCCACCTAGACAAATGTAACTCAGAAGCTTAGTGGAATCAAGACCATGGAGACTAATACACAAATAACTGGCATTATGGCTCACAAGTGTGGAATTACATCAAGTCTGAGTATCAGAATCATTAAAGATGGAGGTAATATCTTGAAAAAGAGGTGCGAGGTTGAACAGTGCTTTGTGGAGAATGTGGCTCTCTCTGCAATATTTGGAGGTTAGTCCATTTACAAACCATTACTAACAAACCGTGTGGGTTAAAGATTTTGTTAGCAATTTCCAGTTCTAATTTAATCTAATTAGTTAATTGTTGTATATGCAATTATGATTTTACTGGTGACAGATTACTTATAAGAATAATGCCATCAAAAGCATAAAGTATACTTTAATTGAATTGAATTTAAATAAAATAAGCTAGCCCACAATTTAACATTTTAAAATAAGGTCTCTTATAGAACATGAATAATATAACAGCAACATGTTCCTGACCCAGTTCCTGTCCACCTACGGTAGGAGTTATCGGTGTTTCTGCCCACATTGTGTGTTCTAGATCTTCCTATCACATTCTCAATAATAAATTCAAATTCCAAAAGGAAGAGTACAGTCCAGTTCCTATTATAATGAGGATATTTTGCCAAGCAGTTTAACTCTCCAGCATCTACTAAAAACAGAAATGTCAGTTATTGGGGGACTGACCCTTCAACCTTATGATCTTTTTGCTTAGTACTGACCATATGCACAGTGTATACACATTTAAAATATCAGATTTTACTTAATCTTCTCTGTTAAATTATATGCATACATTCTGATTCCCTTTCACTCTTTCATTCTATGATATATGAATGGTCCATCCTAAATAATTAGATAATTGGGATCAGAAGCATGGTAATGGAAATCATTTTTTGTAGCGTTAGATAACTAATAAGATCACTCCTGGGTTTATGCTTTCTAGACAACAGAAAAGAGGAACAAAATAATCCATGTAGCCATGTTTACTTGATGCTGCGATAGACACACATGGAAAGTCCTAAAATGACAATGGTTTACTGTTAGAATTAGTGCAGCCTCCATCCTTAAAGCAATTTGAATTTGCAATTTTGTGCAAGGAATCTTAAGTCTTGCCCTGTTGATGAAGATGACTGCTGGGTTATGGCATTGAATGTTTTTCATGCTTTCATGCAGAACAAACAAGATTATAGTGAAAGAAAAAGGAGATGGAGTCCATCATGTGGCCTGCTGTAAGATGTAAAGCCTGTGGGAAAGAAAGTGTCTACAGAAATTAAAACCGTTATTTTGAAAGAGAAGTGAGTGGTAGATCAGTTGCCCTTGATCTAATACTTACATGTCTTTTGACACCTACTGATGCATTCAGCTTCTGTGTCAAATTTATTGGCATTGCCACCACACCCACCATACCAAATCTGGGTGCAAATCTTGTTTGTCTTGTCAAAGAACCACTTAACCTCATTCTCCTTGCATTGGGTGCCCATGTCCAGATCTAGCTCACAAGGATCTGTTAAAGTGGAATTTCAAAGAGTGTCTAGAGTTACAAGGTGAACCGGTGGACACTGGGCATACCTGATGGTTGATCATGGGTCTTTCATCCCTATAATGTTCGAGGGAGAACTGAAAAATGTTGGCCTTGTGGACTGATTATTAGTCAAGTTACTGAAAGTGGTCAGCACATTTTATTGCAAAAAAAGTCCAATATTACTTTATTTTACTTTCATAATTGACTCAGATGTAATCTGAAATCAAGTAATTACGGGGCCATGGATGTAATTACAAGCCACGTGATAATCAATAAAGTATAACCAAATGTAGGTTACTCCAATGAATGCTTAATGCATTTTTGCAACAATTTAATCATGAACTGTATTGTCTTCACATTTTCAGGCACATTTTTCTACATGGTATACATAACTGGGTTAATGTATTAAAGAAATAGAGAATGTTCACTTTGCATTGTGAATGTTCTCTGAGCTTAATAAATAAGGTAAAGCTGTATTCAGTTTGAATACCCACTTATGTGAAAGAGAAAAAAACAGGATATGTTTGTATACAGGATTGGATGATAAAGTAAATCCAACTTCACTTTTTTACTAAGCTCGGTAAACATTCACAATGCAAAGTGAACATTCTCTATACCTTTAGTAAACCACCCCCAATAACTAACCTTTTAACAAGTTATACATAGCATAAATATATGCCATCTAAATATATGTGAGTTTTATGACTTGCTGTGTAACATCTATCAGGCTAATCACAAATGTATCAAAGTACAGGAATAGCAACAAAACTGTGACACAAATCTCCTTGACAAATAGTGGCATTTGTGAATAAATATAACACCAAATCTATTAAAAATTGAGTGTCCAAGTAAAATACAGAACATGCTGAAAATCTGTTTAGATTGAAATACTGAGATTTTTGAAATTTGACTTCACTGTTAAACAAAAGCAATTAAATCAGAAGACAACTGTCTTTGTAACCTTGTGTACAACCTTTTGACAGGTATGAGCAAGATTACAGTGTTGCATAGTAGATTCAGACAATTTAGGAATTGCTAATTAGCTAGTGCTAGTGCGTAGAAAACTGCAGTTTTGCATAAAGTGTGTGTTGCGTTCGGGCAGTGTGATACGGTGTTACAGCTCATCACACTATTTTTTTTTTTTTTTAAACTTTAGTTAAATGTCACAAAATGAGATTTAATTTCACTTTATGCACTGCAGCACAATGTGATGCGTTGTAGCGTGTTCAAAGCTCATGTCAAAATTAAACCTATCCTACTTTTTTTTTTAGTGCACACCAATGCACTGCAGTGTTGTGAACTGAAATAATAGGACATAAGGCAAATTGCTTTGTCTATGTGTTGGGACTGCATTGGGCAACGCTGCCCAACACAGCCCAATGGGGCTGGCATGAACCAGCCCTTAATCATTCCTTATCTCTACCCTTAGCACCCATAGCTTTTAAACGACCCCTAACACCCAAACAGGACTCTTCACCGAAGCCTAAATTATTATATCTTAACACATGTTTTGTTTTTTTCATCTGTGTCTCTTTAGGGAGATTTTCCTTCATTTCTTGTCCTGTAGACCCAAGAGGATATCTTTCCAATGTGAGGGAAATCCCATCTTAGATGGTTGTCACAAGTGTCCCCACTGGAAGATTTTCTGGATAACTGGATAGTTAGAGAGAGAGATTCTCACTAACGAGACACAGCCAGCACTAAAAACCTGACAGTGGTTCTAACCCTCACCACTCCATATCTAGAAGAAAATCCTTTTGTAAATACTTTAAGCTAAGCCTAACACTTAAAAACATCACTCCCCTAACCTTAATCAATCTCTTAAGCTTTAAGCCTTACCGTAACTTAACCCATAACCTTTCCCTAACACTTAACTAACCTATCAAGACTATTGGCGCTGTGGGCTAGCAGTCCAGCACCTACACCTTTTAGTGCTTAGCTCTTGGCATTACAAAAAAAACCTTCTATTCTGTTGAGCATTGTATTTAACTTTAGTCTGACTCCTGATCTTTTTGACCAAAGCAGGTTACTTTGTGACAACTTCAACATTTTTGTATTCCAGCTTAAAAATACTCTATAGTCTTATACTTCATAGACCTAACCAGCTTCATGGCTTCGACACCAACATTAGTTGGGCCCGGATGTCTTCTATAAAAGTTAAACTGTTTTTTTATTTCATTCACTAAAATGCCTGGCTTCCGAGCCTGCAAAGATCATGGTGTTCCCCAACACTTACCTATTTCAGGGCTGTTCAGTGGTTCTGTGGTGTATGCTGTGTCAGAACCCACCACTTCCTCAGGCACTGTAACCTCTGGAACCACAATCTCTGGCACTACAACTTCTGGCACATCTTCTGGAACCACAACCTCTGGCACCACAACCTCAGACTTGGGTTGAGAATTACCTATAAAGGAGACACACGCCATATTTAGACTTGTTGTAAGTGTCTCTGTGTGGCACAGAGCATTCTACTTTTATATTCACTATTATTTTTTTTCATTTTTATGTTTTTCTGCTGCAAGTCACTTGCATTGTATATGTTTAAATTTCCTCTAAAATGTTCCAGCTGGGATTCTAGAACAGAAGCACACAACTTGTGGGTTAAGAAGATGTTGAGAACATGCTTCTTCAGATCATAGGATTTTCAAATACAATTGTAGAGTTATAAGAGTATATGTGTTACTTTTAAAATCATCTGGGGCATACAGTATGTATAAAGACCACTAACAAGAAGATTTATTGTTGCCCATAGCAACCAGTCAGAATTTATGCTTGCAATTTTCAACTCTACACTACAGAAATGACAGATGGAAACTGATTAGTTTCTATGGACAGCAAAAAATATTCTTATTAGCACAATAAAAAGAAAATACAGTATATCTCTCCAATGCATGGCGGCCTGTCCAGAAATCCAGTAAGCTCCTATTTTCCTGTAGCGAACTGACAATACTGCCTCTGCTGAATTGACGTTAAGCAGTCTTGTCAGCACTACCTTAGTTCTCTGCTGCTGGACTACAGAACTACACATAGGGGGTTTGGCTTTTAACCAGTTGACACCCACGGTGTTAAACCCCCTTCCCATCCAGGCCATTTTTCAGTATTCAGCGCTGCGCTACTTTGACTGACATTTATTCCGTCATGCAGCGCTGTACTGAAATTAATTTTATACCCTTTTTTGGGGACAGATAGAGCTTTCTTACTAAAAAAAGAGGTTTCAACCTCACATGCTTCAGCTAGGAAAATATAAGCAGCAGCACAAGTTATTTCATTGTACCATCTCCCTGATGGTACATGGTACACTAGGTAAGAGAAGGGCCATCTTACATCATGACTCATCACCTTCCCAGCACCTCCATCACATGGTGGCATAAGCTGTAATTCACTCTCAAGCAGTCCAAAGTCACTCTACCATCTGGTTCTAATACACAGATAGCCAAGTGATAACATGTATATAGCTACATTGTTGTTATAAGGATAATTTTCTGAGGAAATATACTGTATGTGGCTGGAACTGGACAATAAAAAATAGACAGGAGGTTGCATTTTGGCTTCTTTGCCTTGGGTGCTAAAGTACTGCTCCAACATTGTGTGCAAGCCATACATCACTGGTGGCTATAGGCACACAATCTGTGGTGCTCTAAGCACTGCAGTCCACCTCTGCTAAGATAATCTCTTTTAATAGAACAATCATATATTTAAAGAGCCATAACCTTGGGAAAAATATTGTGACAAAGTATAAATAAGCTCAGATGATATTCTATGTTTTTATTTATTTAAAGAAAAAAGACGAAATCTTTCCAACGTTAACAGAATGCCCATCTTAGAGATGCCACAGGAACAGATGTTCCTATTACAGGATTTTCCCTAACCTTTTGGTCTGGTGACATTTCAAAATTCTTATCATTTTGTGTATTCGTTACAATGGTCACCAGGAAAAATAGAAAGATGAATCCCCCCAATAGTAAATCTTGACAAAGGACCAAACCCTTCCCTACTCTATCTAAAAGTGGAAACATTTGCCTTTGACTACAATATTTAACATGGATCAACGTTTTTCGTCCTGCTAAATTGTACTCCGAGTTCTGATTCACAGTTGATTTAACAATCTTTATTACATTCAAACCATCATTCTGTTAAATAATTCCACAAATAACATTGTAAGAATACAGAGACTTACTAGTAGCGAATGTTGCTTGGTAAGTTATCAGGCCAAGGCTCTTGTGCTGCCCAGTAATGGTGACTTGGTACATCTGTCCACTTGCAAGTCCTCCAATAAGTCTTTCAGTGCCTGTGACATTTTGTTTAAGGACTAGACTCTGGTCCGCTAGTGAGATGACGCTGAGCTCATAGACGTGGGGTTTCAGGGAATCAGAACTGGTCCAGCTCAGACGCACACTGTTCTCTGTTATATTAAATATCTGAAGCTCAGTCCTCTGCATTGTTGTGGTCTCTGGAGTTAAGGTGACATCTTGAAGAAAAAGTAGCAATATTAACCTTTGTCAAAATGATCATTACAGTTTCATAAATAAAAGTCTATCACATACAGCATCTAATTTAACATTTTGTTATTGGGTGCAATTATTGATGGTGCCTCAGGAGAAGAATTATTGGTTTTAAAGGAGTTTGTACAAAGTGAGGTGGGGTATAACCTCTGATTTTTATTACTACTGATTTTTAGTACTACAGGGAGGTGTTTTCACCTCCCTGTATCATGAAAAACATAAAGATACATCTAACAAAAGATTAAACTCTGATGTACAGGTTGTTCGAAGGTCAGAAAGTGAGTCATAAATAAGAGCACAATAACAATAAGAACTTCATAGGTTTCTAAACCTTTTCACACTCTGTTAAAAAGGTATTTTCATTGTAGTTTGTGTCTCGGTGTCTTTGGTGATAGTGGAACAGAAAGTAAATGGAGAACAACAAACAGCAAATAAAATCCTTGGTGGTTATAATCCTTCATCAACCTGGCCAAAGCTAAAAAAAAATAATAAAAAATGACAGGACTTTGGTTGGGCTTTATTCGTAATTTAGTTAATTATATATGTTTTTGAGGAAAAATGCCTGACATCTTTAGGCAAGAATAAAAATATTGAAATACACAGGTTGATCTTAGCTTAAAAGCATGAATAATGATGCATATAAAGTCAGAAAATCATATGAGTGACATAATTACCTGTAAGGGTGTTGATGCTTGTTCGTGCTGTTATGACCTCAGGCTTTTCACTGGATAATATTTTGTCAGGTACTAGAGAATCATCAGTCCTGCAATGCAGATACAGCATGTTACAGAATTAAAGTGTATGTAAACCCAAAATCCATGTATTAGTGTTTTTGGCATTATGCCTCATTGTGTATTATACCGTTTTTTTAATTAAATATTTTTTTGTGAATCTGTTACAAAGTTCTTTGTCTCAAGTTCCTGCCAGTACCAACAGCACTTCCTGTTGCAGGGTAATGCTAAATTACTACCTTGTATCAAGAGCACTTTCTGTGACTTATTCTCAAAAATGTTTAAAAGTCCTGTCTGTATTGCCTCCAACAACCAATGAGATTTAAACTTGAAGATACCTCAAAGTTGGCAATTGAAAATTAAAATTGAATTGGTAGTTGTAGACAGTTTTCAAACAGGACAGTTTTCAGTTTGAGTGAGAATTTTTTAACCTATGTTACATCATCTTTAAGGCTTTGTCTATTTTTGCATTAAAAACTATTCCATCTGATTGCTACTATTAAATATTATTAGTTACAGATGAAAGATCTGTCTCACTCACGCTTCATTGGTGCTTTCATTGGTGCTTGGAGGCTGATCGTTCTGGAACCAACCACATTGACTTTGAATTTCAGGAGACAGATGGAATGCATTTTCACCTGTGATACACAGAAGGAGCAGATAAAAGCAAATATGAGTGAGACATGTATTATGATTATGACATTTATATTAATAGTTAAAGTGTATTTAAAGCCAAAATGTTTTCTTAGGTTTATATGCAATGCGTTATGTACAGACTCTCCTTTTGTTAGCACTTACTGCTTATAAATCCAGGCAGTTGCATTCCAAATCTCAGCAGGGTCTCTTCATTTAGTTCTGACGCCTTTCCAACTTTCTTGGAGAAAACATCATGTGGTTCACTAGCCAGTGAGTTCAAATGTCCAGTATGTACCTTCTTCCCTACACTCAAAATCACAAAGAAGTAGCCCTTGCATTTGGCCTCGATTACAGTCTGGCGCAACTGTTTGAGCTCATGAGGCTTCACGTCTCCAGTCAAAATAAGGAAGATGACCTTCATGGCCCTTGGGTTGGGAGCACTCTCAAGCACATGTTCCACCACATACTTGATAGCGTTGTTCAATGACCGTGTTCCATACAGCTGAGTCATTTTGGTTAGAACAAATGCCTGAAGTTTCTCTTTCTCAGTGTACTCAGTCAGTCCTACATCAATTCTCACAGGAGGGAAGCTGGAATTAATCTGATGTTCATAGGGAGCATGCTGGAGTATTGAAATGCGTGCATGATGGGAAGAGGATTTAGGATCTGGACTGAGCTCCAACTGTCCAATCACATGGGAGACAAATCTTTTTATCTCAGCAAACTGGGCTGAATTTGTGGAGTCTGAACTGTCCACAAGGAAGGCTAAGTCAATGTCTACATCAGTAGTTGCTGAGCGTCTAAAACGGAGATCGCCCCTGGGAATACCAACTCCACATTCACTAGCTGGCTCACACACATCTGTGGATAAAGAACACAGTTTGAAATTGCATTACATGTTGAGATTACATTTAGAGTTCATGCTGCCCCTGGCACACATGAATGATTGCTCTTTCATACAACCCCTATCCCTTTTATTCACACCCTGGGTGATTAAAGAATATGTAAAGCCAATCACTGAAATCTCATATAAACTTTAACATGCTAATGCAGTTATAAAAAGTATGGTTGAATATTTTAATTGTTTTTATTAAGGTCCTTGCTCTAGCACTTCCTGTCTCCCGACTGTGCTCCTATGCTGTCACCCTGTCACATGGGTTTCTGATGGAAACTACAAGTAGCTAGTGTAATACACAATGACAGACATGGTTCACCACTGTCCCCATCTCAAACCAGCCTGAGAAATGCCATGCAGCCATTGCTGTAGTGCATGTAGACCTAAAGTGTTTGCTAAGAGGCTCCATAATATCAGCAGCACTGAGATGTCTACAAGATAAAAGAGGAAAAAAAAACCATAGGGGTCTATTCACGAAGCTGCAGAAGGATCTAGCCGTAGCTTCGGACGATCCTTCGGCTAGCTTCGGGCCCCAGGACCCCTTCGGTTCAGTAGAACCGAAGGGGTGCTGTACGGGCTATTCACTATAGCTCGTACAGCTCCCGAAATGTTATCGCAATTGTTCATAATACACAGTGCTTTAGCAAACTGAATGCCATTCAGTTAGGGTTTACATCTACTTTTATGCAAATAATTAAACCATGAAGGGCTTTTGGAGGCAGTATTGAGCATACTACCGTGTTTCCCCGAAAATAAGACAGTGTCTTATTTTTTTTTTTGCAAGTTAGCGCTCTCATTGGGCTCTACCATCAGGAGCCTGTACAGAAAGACATGATGGCTGTGTTTAATCTGAGCTGCAGAAAATCTTGTGTTTATTTTCTGCAATCCCCATAACCACTTCCATGTCTGAAGCAAGACTTACTTACAAAGGTCCAGTAGAGGCCAGACTGAAAGAAGTGAATTTTTAGTTTTGGACCTGTTTCCTTTTACTACCGCACTGGCTAAGGGATTACTTATGGTAATACATGTCATCTATTAAGTACTACACTGTGCATGCATTAGTGGGTTGCATTATTATAATGGATACCCCATTGTTTATCCAGAATGCAGCTGCATAACAGCGCACCACAATGCACAAAAATGCACCATTTGTGTTGTGATGTACTGCGATGCAAAAAAAAAACATGCCCTACTTTTTCCTGTGTTCATTTAAAATGGGCTGCTTATCGCAATTCTTTCATCCTGTCATGGTTTAGTCCATCCAGATCTGATATTTGTTTTATAGGCACTGGCTATTTGAATGATGCACTTGCTTCCTTTAATTCTAAGAAACTGTGAGATGCTTTTGATTATCCAGGTCTGCCTTTTTGTTGCCATTTTAAGGAGGTCTCACTCTCCATATTGGATATTTCATTTATTTTGAGTTAAACGTTCCATGTTGTATCAGAAGGAGTGAGACTCCAAAAAACAAAGTACAAAAAAATAGCAGGAAGATGATACATCTGGTTCCCCAAGAGATACAATATAATAGTGTACAATTCACCAGCATCTTCCTAAAACTGAAATATTAGTTAATTCTCTTATAAGGATTTCTCTCTTCAATGGGGTATAACAGCTATCCCTGTTTTATTTTAAACACTTTTCTAAATTAGAGAAGATGTCACTTACCTAGACATACAAAGCAGGAAAGGACTTTGCGGATGGTTTCATTCAATTGAGCGCCACTTCCAAGGATTATAGCCTGGCCTGCTTCTGTGTTATTGACCTAGGAATTACAGAGATGCAAACACATGATTTATTCTTAACATAGAACAAAGATAAATAGCTTGCTTTTGAGAATGAACTGAGGGCAGTTCCCTATTTCAGAAGCTTTGCATCATATCCTTTTAGACTTAATTATCTAAAGAAATCACTAAAAACTTGTGTTAAGGCCTTTTCACAGTGAGATTTTGCAAAGCATTTACTTTGGGCAAGGTTTAAAGGAGAACTATGGGGTTAAGGCTTTTCCCCATAGTTCTCCTTAGGGTAACGGGAGGACACAAACTAGCGTCCTCCCGTCACCCTAAGCTGCTGCTTGCGGTATACTGAGGAGCCGCAGCTGAAGCGGAGGCAGAGCCAGCTCTACCCGCCCCCTCCTCCGTCCGTTCTGCCAGTCAGCGCTGGCGGATCGGAGCGGGGAAGGGGGAATCCAGCCCCTCCCCTGTCACGGCAGAGAGCCGTAACAGGATCGAGAGGTGAGCGAACGCCGGTATGTGTTCGCTCACCTCCCGATCTCATTGTCACAGGTCGGCTAGAACTATGAGGTGACTGAAAAGCACTCATAGTTCTCCTTTAAGCAGTTTTATTGAAGGTCTTTAACACACCTTTAGGTCCAGTTTGGGTTGTTAAACACAGATCTTAATGGTAGTGCTGACTGTTCCTTGAAACAAACTTTAAGTAGGCTTCAATAAACTTCAAGACTATTTGCAGCATAAGTTTGCTGAAACCTATAGCATGTTTAAAGTAACAGTCAGCACTCCTATTAAGAAATGTGTTTAACATCCTTCCTCATAGTGGAAAAACTGAAGTTTCCTTTCGAGACTTAAAGGATGCTGAAGCCCATGTGAACAAGGCCTTATAGAGAACATTACTATCTCAACTTCCATCCTTTATTGCAGCAGTTCATCATCTGCGGGTAGGGACCAAATAGAGTACCAACTGTCTTTTGGGGTTCATCTTGTATTTCATACATTTATATAGACACAGCTACTGCAGTTTCTAAATAATGGGGTTGCAGTTCTATAGGTCTCAGACAAGATGCACAAGATGCACCATAAAAGAGTAGGCTTTTAGGAATGGTTAGCTTTCTTCCAGGGGGACATCCACTTCAGCAAGGACCCAGACACAAAATATGATAACGACAGATTTTAAGGCATTTACACTAGTTCTAGCTAAAACTACATTATAATTAGATTAATTCACATTATTGTGGTCCATTGCAGTGCATTAACGCACACATATTATGTTGTACATTTATGTCATTGCAGTAAAGCAGCCCATCCATTAGGATGGGAAAGCAGTGCATCACAACAATAAAAAGCATATGGCCTTTTTTTGACAATGCAACACACCACAACACATGTGCTTGTGCAGTGTGATGTGCTGCCGTGTGTTTGCAGTGACTGTGACTACATAGTGCTATTCACTCCAACATATGAGCCTTAATATTTGGACTCTTATATTTTTTGATCTTCTTTAATGAATACATAACTGCATTCACTGCTTTTATTTTTGCCTGTGGTTCAAACGTCATATAAACAACACTAGGAAAAGGTTTCACTTCGAAACTACCCATGCTGGGAAATCTATAATAAAGGAGCCAGTAATTTCACATATTTATAAAATTGACAACCTTGTTTTGTAAAATGTATATATAAAATAGTAATGTATATGTATAGTAGTAAAATGAATTAGTATTGTTGGTTGATACTTTTTTGTTTACATATAAAATCTCTTCCACTGACCAACAAACTGATGGGTCTTGTGCCTAGGTACCACATAATTTGACCCTGCCTTTTTTAGGCAGTGGTCAGGTATCTGGTGAACTTTAAAGGAGAACTATGACATGAGTGATTTCCACTCACCTCATAGTTCTAAGCCGACCTGTGACAATGAGACTGTCACAGGTCGGCTCAGTAGATCGGGAGGTGAGGGAAAACATACCGGGTTCCCTCACCTCTCGATCCTGTCACGGCTCTCTGCCGTGACAGGGGGAGGGGCTGGATTCCCCTCTCCCCGCTCCGATCTGCCAGCGCTGACTGGCGGAACGGACGGGGGAGGGGGCGGGTACAGCTGGCTCTGCCTCTAGGTAGGCAGAGCCAGCTGTCACTCACGCAGCTGGGCGGATCCCGTCATCTAAGTCGGGATCCGCTCCAGGTGCGGCGTCTCAGTATACCGCGAGCTGTAGGGTAACGTGAGGACGCTAGTTTGTGTCCTCCCGTTACCCTAAGGAGAACTATGGGGAAAAACACTGACCCCATAGTTCTCCTTTAAGTCAATTCAATCAGTTGTTATTGTCTTAATGCCACCAGTAAGTGGAAAATTACCTTGGTAAGAGTTTAAGAGCCTGTATCAACAGGCTTTGGTTTGCTGTAAGCAGGTTTTGATATACCATGCTAGTCTATGGAAAAGCAAAACCCACTTGAAAGCAGGACAGATGCAGTTCAGAAGGTCAACTGCAGGTCAGATGACCATGTCAATGAATTCATGAATGATCTCGGAAGAACCTCAGACTGAGGTCAAACTGATGCCAACGACACAAGCTCAAAGCCCATTGAAACAGACCTTTATTCTGATTGGTAGGTATGGTGAATTAACATTAATGTCCTTACTCAGGCACTTTATTCTGACACTTTGGAAGTGATATATAACAAGTGTACTACAAGAACATTTGCCTTAGTGTCCACAACTATTTGTGCAGCCCATGTTTGAAAATAAACTAAGAATTCTGATTGACTGCTATAAGCAACAACAATAATTTCCTATAGCACACTTTGTGCATATCAGCCCCTTTAATGGACCCCTTTAAGGCTTGGTGGTATTGCTGCAATGAAATATGAACATTGTAGAATTCTAACACCACAGCTTATTGAGTTAGCTAATTTGTGAAAATGATTAAAAACTCCTCCCCTCCCTTTTTTTTAAATTACTTTTTTGGATATAGAATATGGAATCATTGAGACATTTTATATATTGAAATTTGCAATACAGGTGTATGTCCTGTTGTATGTTTTAAATACTATAATGTGTTACTTTGATTTTCTTCAATATCAATTAAAGATATTAAAATAAAAACTCAGTAATCTGGATCAATAATTATGACTTTACCAAACAATAGATTCAAAAGTCTAAATCCTGACCTAATCTGAAAAATAGTGGACTTGAAAAAGCCAGAGGTACCTAAATTCCAGGATGCTTTCAATTTCAATAGCTGTCTATTGACATGAGTGCCTCACACTTACCTTTAAAGCATTGACCAATGGCCTGTCTTCTCTCACTGTAAGGAACACAGAAGACACGCCAGCATCATACAGCTTAAGTACAGCCTCATTTAGTTGTGGTGAGGCTCTAGTTGGAGCATTACTGAAGAACACAGCCACCTTTCTTGTCAGGAAACCTCCACGCGACCTCTTAAATGTGTTTCGTGCCACAAAAGACATGACACCATCCAAGCTTCTTTGCTTGTTAGATGTAACCAGTTGCAAGTTTTCCATCTGAGTGAGCAGTGCTTGTTTCCTGAGGCCTTCAGAAAAGCGAACTTCTGTGGTGACCTCACTATTGTAGGTAAGCAAAGCAACGCGGGCTCCTCTTGGACAGTTGCTCTCAGAAATTGACAGCTGGTTAACCACTCGCACAGCAGCTTCTCTCATGTTGTTAAACTGATTTCGGTTCACATCCGAAGATGTGTCAATAGCAAACACCAGGTCAGTGGGGAACAGAGGGCATTCTTGTTTACCTGTTCAGTGTAGAATGATTTATCATTTCAATTAGAAAGTATCCAAGATGGCATGATTCGCTTCAGTATGGCAAACAAAGCACTGGCATTTTATATCACTAGATATATAAGACATCTACATTTAAGATAACCAGCTACAACAAGCAGTAAACAGGGTAGGTTAAAGGGTAATTCCACTTTCCCAGGTGAATTTGGTCAAATGGAATTAACCCCTCCAAACTGGCCCCTTCTCTCTCTCCCACCCCACTGCTATATTTACCTTTGGGCCAACGCTCTTGCCCCTCCACTGGTGCTGGTGACTATCCGTACCCCGTACTGCCATGTACTGCCATGTACTGCAGCCCTGTGCTCTGGATTTTGAATTTCGCTTGCAAATGGCAAGCACTTATTGCTCCGTGTGGTCACCTGACCTCTCTGACCAATGAAAAGCACTTCTTGGCACAGTCAAAAGCACTTCTCATTGGTCAACACGTTCAGGTCACCACACTGACAAATGAGTGCTTGCCATTTGTGGGTGACATTCAAAATCCAGAGCTACATGGCAGTACAGGGTATGGATAGTACAACTACACTGGTGGAGGGAAAGAGGCGTCAGCCCAAAGGTAAGTATAGTGCTGGGAGGGGGAGGGGTCCAGATTGAAGGGGGTGATTCCACTTTCTCAAATTCACCTGGGAAAGTAGAATTGCCCTTTCATAGATAGCAATCACAGAATGCATCTTTTAAATTTGTCATAGCCAATGCATACCTTCCATTCAGCTTAACATACTATGCTGTTTCTAGCCTGCTACTGTGGTTATATTCACTGCATGATCAGAGTTCAAGTGAACCTGTGGCCACACTAATATCAACCAAGTATTTACATATTCCTAATGAACAGTATATTACCTTTAAAGCCAGCCTCACTGACATTTCTAGCTGGAGATACTGTGGAGCAATTCATCCAGCTTCTGCACTCAGATCATAGGACTAGAAGGCTGCTGAGTCACTGCTGGGAGAAGGGAGCAGGGTGGGCTGAGCTGCTGACAGAATGACCCACTTCAGTGCTTCTGCTGTGACCTTTGAGAATGAATTTCTCCACAGAGCCTAAAGCCACAAAGGTCAACGGACACTTGTTTTAAAGTAGGGCTGTACAAATTAACGATGAATTTCTCGATTAATCGTTAATCTTTTTGATCAATTAAAAATTTTTTGATTGCTAATGAAAATACTCACCTCCCCGCCGGCTATCGGGAGTCCCGTCAGAGATCCAGTGACGTCGATGTCCCCAAGTGGCTCCGTCGGCTAACGAAGGGAAGGGGGGAGGAGTCCGGTGATGTTGATGTCCCCAAGTGGCTCCGTCGGCTAACGAAGGGAAGGGGGGAGGAGTCCGGTGGCGGCGATGTCCGTGACGTCACCTGACTCCTCCCCCTTCCCTTCGTTAGCCGGGGGAGCCACTTGGGCCGGTGAGTTTACCCAAGAAACTTTCTGCACGAGCGCCAGCCAAGGCATTGGCCTATACACATACAGCACAGCAATAAAGTAATAAAATGAACTAAGATCACACTAATCCAGCACGTTATTATTCTGAGTTGCCCCACTCAAGCGGCGGCCATATTGAGTGGGGCACGTGAGATTAATAATGTGCTGGATTAGTGTAAATCTAGTTAATTTTATTACTTCATTGCTGTGCTGTATGTGTATAGGCCAATGTAGTTGGATCTGTATGTGCGTTATAATTAATTGAAATGAATCGATTAATTGATTTAAAAAAATTTTGATTAATCGAACACGAACATCAGTAACAGCCCTATTTTAAAGCACATTTACTGCTTGTTAAGAAAATGTAAATAGTTGAATGTCCATAGCCTGGCCACCAAAGCATAGGGGTGCGTTTGGGCTGTAAATCAGTTGGACACCAAGTTTGATTCTCCATGTGTATGTACATTTTTGTTTTAATTTGTAGCAGATATTTTATAAATGTAGGTGTCCTAATCAGTGGATATGGGCAGAGGTGAATTAGAAGATGTTGGCCTTGCCATATACAGCAACATAAAATCAGGTGTAAACTTGTGTTCAAATGCAAGTATACTTACCATAGCAGCAAGCTGTACAGATGTAGGAGTAATATTGACCACAGGAACAAGAACAAAAGCCACGGGAACAAGAAAAAAAGAAAGTTTAGTGTGTAAACAAAAATATCTACACATTTACAATGTTTACATGAGTATGCTGAAATATTTTACACCATGCAACTTTTATTATGACATATTTAGTACAAGTATGGTGGATAGTACTTACGGCATGTGTTTCTGATAGTCTTCACAAGTCCACATTGCTATAAAAAAAGGCAAAAATAAAGTAAACTATTTTGTATATGTAACTTATACTATGATATGTGTATAGGCCAATTCTTACATCTCTTGAACCTTCTCGTTCTCCCTTCAGGCCCTGGAAAGAAAACATTTTGATTTAGTAAATACAATGATTTTTCTCTTTCCATCAAACATAAATGTGGAGATAAACAACAACTTTTTTTTTAACTTACACTTGGTCCTGAATGTCCTGGATCCCCTTTAGTGCCTCCCTTACCAGGATCACCTGCATTGCCCTAAATGAAACACATGATAAAGAATATATCAGCATTTAAAGATAACCCTATATTTTTGGGGTGAAAATGGCAGCAAGTCTATATATACTGCACAATTAGCCAAAGTTACCCAGTCATAGTTATTGGTGAAAATGTAGAGCTAGCAGGCGATTCAAGTTTTAAAATGTTACTCTCTATATACATAGCAAATACAACATTTTTGGTCCTTTCACAAATTCTCAGCTTAAAAAACACCTACCCTACGTCCTCTGCTTCCTTTAGGTCCAGACTCTCCATTAGGTCCTTTATCGCCAGGATCTCCCTGAAGAAAAAGATAAATAAGGTCTTTATTGATGAACATTGCAGCTATGAACAGTGGTCAGGTAGATTCATAACCCTATTCAAATTTGGATCAATAATTACAAAACATATTTTAATTTTAGTGTATCCCAGAAAGAAGTCGCAATTTTAGTTTTGTATGTCATCATCTGGACCATCTAGAATATCCAACTACCAAAAGACTGGTTAGTATATAAACAGAACTCCAGAAAGGCTAAAACCATTGTCAAGATTTTGTTGCTGTCTGACCAACGTTGAAATATTTTTTTCACGTACTATCCCTGTGACAGTGTTCAGGAACATTGTCACACTTCAATGGGAACACATACAGCACAAAAACATTTCTCTATCAGTACTTTCTGTCCCAGAGACTGTGGCAACAAGGCCCCAAACAACAGTAAAAATCTGACAACTGGCCTAACTGTTCTTCACATTGTGCTGCATTGGAGAAAAATGTTTTTTTCTTCTGGAGCTAAACTTTAACGGTTACCCTTTAGGTAACTGTTTTCAGTTACATAATTCCAAATATAACCAAGATATTAACTGTGTGGAAACAGACAGTAAATGATGGAGCAAAATGTGCTAAAACAGATTTCAGTTCACCTTTTGTCCAGGATATCCAGGGAATCCATTTTCCCCCTAAAAAACACAAAAAAGCATTGTAAGACATACATTTAGACATACATTTACATTCTCGAGAGACTTAACCAAAAGTGGAAGACAGTTATTACTTTTTTTAGACTTTACCTTCTAACTGGAAAGACCCAGTGAGTGGTATTAAGAAAAACTAGTAAATTATTGTGTTGAAGTATTTCCTCATTTGAATGTCTGTGCAACCATCCTTTACATATAAGATTTAAGAAAAACATGCTTACCTTTCTTCCTTTAAGACCAGGGTTTCCAGCTCCATCACGACCATCATCTCCCTGTAAGAAGAAAAAATTGTTTTTTACTAGTTCATCCTTCCTTATAGCTATAGAAAGCTTGTTAGTAGTGATGAGGTTTGGGTTCACTGCTACTATGGGTTCAAGGTGAATTCTGCAGGTTCGAGATTCGCGTTCTTAGTGCATTTTATGCAGATTGCCATGGGATAATTTTTTTTAAACATAATGTACTGCAGGCTTTGGTATTAATTGGGTCAATAAGGAGACTCTTGGATAAGTCAGCCCCCTTACTATAAAATGACTTGGGAGGCACAGAGCAATCATTGTGTCAGTGAATTGAAAGGGAAAACATAGGGAAAGCTGACAAACTGTATAGGGAGAGATTAGGATCAGTTAGGCAGCTGTAAATCAACCACTTTGCTGCCTTTTTTTGTTCTTATTATTGGGGACTTTTTTTGTCTATCATTCTATTTTGTTTTGATTTGAGATCAGTAGTCACTTTTAGCTGCTGCCCCGTCCATAGCAAACTATTTATTTGCAAGGCTTCTCATTAAAGAAGAAATCTGTGACAATTTATTTTTTTCTTAAACCTTACAGTGGGGCTATAACCCCACTCTGCAAGGGTTAAGTGCTCATTTTGGTCTAGGGAGGAAATAACAATACTCACCTGATCCTCAGAGCTGGCTGGCTGCTGGACCAGTCTATGGAGGCTCCCCCCCTCGCTGTAGTGGTTTAAGGTCCATGAGCTGTGCACTGTGTTCACTGCAGCAGAGGAGGAGACAGGCTGGAGGGAGTGCTATCACATCCAGCTGCCTTCAAGGATCACATGAGTATAACTATGTATAACTATTTTCCTCCCAAGATCAAAACAAGCAAGAATTAAGATTCATTTTCCCCTGAGTTCTGCTTTAAAAACACAATAGGCTTTTGTTTCAGGGGTGGATTTTGGAGGTTTAATTTATTTTAGGGGTAATTTGTTTTTTTATTTTATGTAGCTAGAGTCTTTTTTTGCTGCAAGTCTATTATTTATTATTGCAACTGGCCTGCTGCTGGCCACTTTTACACTGCTGTATCCTCTGCAGTAGGTTAATTCTTGTAGTAAGGCACCAGCCTGTCCTATTTGTCACCAGTAAATATGGGCTTAGCCCTGCTATTTAAAATTGTTTTGCAGCTAGCCAATTTTGCACTATTGTCTTATGTGCAGTCTCTAATTGTAGTAAAACATCTGTACTCTTTTTCTCAAGTACATGTCAATCACATATGAAAAGCATGGAGTGTTGCTAAAGCTACCTGACAACAGTCCTTTTTTCAAACAGATTGGGTGGGTCTGTTGTACATAAGCTAAGCTAACTATAAAAGAAAAAAAATCAATTCCATTCTGTCAGTGTATGCTGTCGCTGAGACTGTCTGTGAAAATCATGCTGTTCTATAACACCATGTACAGGTTTAAGGCATCCTTCAAACATGGTATTTCAAGGATTTGTGTATTTCCAATGGTGCCCATGAAGCTGCATGAAAAGACCCTTTTCCCAATCAATGACATTTATTTTTGTAGTTGTAGATGTCCCCATGGCAGTGCCCAACTTCCCATGCCTTTTTTTTTGCCAGTAGTTTGCCTAATTAGTCCAAACTAATTCTGGCCAGAAATAGGAAGATTTGGTCACCATAGGCTTCAGTAGGATTCACCTCTAAGTTTGGGTTTGCCAAATTTTAAACAGGATTCGCCAAATCTTGGTGAATTGATCCTGGACACATTCACCCATCACCACTTGTTGCTCATTGCTTTATATATGCCTTTTTTGCTTTTATGCAGCAAATATTTTCTTACACCTGAGGCTCCATTTATAAAGCAGTGGCATGGCATTGTGCAAATGTGCTTTGCACTCCACCTGCTTTTAGACTACATTCTCAACAGTGAATTTAAAAAAAGTAGGAGGAGCAGATCCCAGTCATGTGACTGTCAAAATCATATGTCTGACCTTTCCTGCTATCATGAATTTCTCTCTGCAATGCCAAAGACTCTGCAGAGGGTAATCCTGTTTAATGTGTCCTGCTTTCACGTCCTGCATGGAAGGTGTGCACCCACAGGCACTTCCTTCCCTAGGATGACAACGCTTACTAAGTTTGGCTACTGCATTCCTCAGGTGTACTACAAACGGGTGTGCTAATGCACGGTGCACATGAATATGCTGAATATGTGACTGAAGTATGCACGCATCCCCAGTAAGTACATACAAAGAGCCTACAGGATGTGCATAGCACAGGCAAAAAACACATGAAGTACAGGGAAACTGTAGTTTTTAAACAAAATATAATGCAATCATGTTTTACTCACAGTGCTCTACTAAAGTTTAGTTCTACTTTAAGTATTTGTTTTTCTGGGACGTTACAACCACTGAGGAATTTATTTCCTTTTCTTCCTAATACTAAAACCATACGCCATTATAGGAAGAGACCATATTTATTTCTGAAAAACTGTAGTTGCACTCACCTATGCAAATCGGAATACAGTAATTGGTGATTCTGCATTTTATTGCTTATACATTTGTAAAGTCATTTAGAATTAACATCCATCACTATTTCCTAACTGCTATTGGCTGCAGTTATATAAACATTAAAGAAGAACTCCGGTAACATTTGTATTAACCATTGCAGTGGAGCTAACCCTGCACTGTAGGGGTTAACTGCTCATTTTTGTCTAGGGTAAAAAAAGTTATACTCACCTGTTGCTCTGAGCTGGCTTGTTTTTAGACAGGTCCCTAGAGCCTCTCTCCCCCTCCTCTCCAGCAGTCTAAAGTCCCATAAGTAATCACGTCTATACACTGTGTATAGATGTCAGGATGCAGAGGGAGATTCCAATGCTGTAATGGAGGAGGAGAAAGGCAGGAGGGACTGCTGTGACAGCTGGCAGGCTCGGAGCTTTGGGTAATTATAACTTTGCAGTGGAGTTCTTCTTTAGAGCTCAAAATATCAACTTCTAATGTTTTTAGGAAAAATCTAAACATTGTATTTTATTTGTAAGTACATTTTCTAGCTGAGATAACTAGCTTCTCATATTTGTCTGGTTCGGTGAAGCTAACTTTATTATTAAGCTCTTCCTTGTACATTTCCTCAGCTTACCTTTCCCTTTTTAACGAGATTTGCCAGAAACAGTTTCATAAGCACCAGAAATTACATTGCTATTGTGTCATAACCAACTTCTGGTGCTAATGGATTTTCTTTTACAACCATTGAAACATATGCATTCTGATTACAGAACCCTCAACCTCTAATAAATAAGTTCATTCTCCCTGTACTCTTCTGATGATGGCCCAAGCGTCCTTAAGGTTCTGTGGAGAACTGCACATGCAGCATATTCATCACTACAGTTTCAGTAGCTTCATAGGGATGATAACATTTACTCTACTTACTGTCTCACCACGTGGTCCAACAGGTCCATCAGATCCTTTAGGTCCAATATCTCCAGGCTCCCCCTAAAAAGGAAAAAAATTTAAAAAGTAAAGAACTACAATTACAGACAAGTGTAAAATGGTCAATCAACCTACATAACAGTATTTTAAAGTTGTAAAGTTTAATGGTTTAGCCTGTTGGGTATCTACATTATATCAAGGTAACCCTAGTGTATAGATATTCCCATTGTAAAAGCCTGCATATTAAAAAACCAACAAAGCTACAATGCATTTGCATTTATAAATGAGCTCTGAATAACATTTGATGGGAAATTATTAAAAATTTTCAGGAAATTATCAGATGTAAATGATCACTTTCTAAATCTCACTAAAAAGATATGGCGGGTAACTTCTCAGTATCTTTCCATCTAACAATAGCTGATATAAGATATAAAGCTATATGATAATAATCATGCTGCATCATCAGAAACGTTATATGTCTCTTTGAATATATTGTTCTTGCAACCTGAATTTGAAGCTTTGCTGTAATTTAATGTCAATGTCTAAATCATTTTCAGAATAAGGATTAAGCTACATTTAATGTGAAGAAACTTGAAAGAAAGCCATCTTGGCTAACTCAACAGCAATACATTATTTGTTTTAGTACAGAAACAAATGTCTTTCATAATAGCAGAAAATAAACTATTAACATCCCCCTTTTATCAACTTTACACTGAGAAGAGGGTGAGTACATAGGGTATAGAGATAGTACATCTGTGGCTGATATAGGAAAAATTGCAGCTGGAGACAAACCTTGCGCCCTAGTTGTCCGGGTCTGCCACGATCACCAGCAGGTCCAGGAGTGCCTCCTGACCCCTAATGGAATTCAAAAAATAAATATATGCAGGTGTAAGACCACTATCATGCACTATCATTTCCTTTCTTCACACTCATCCCCTAAATCAAGAGTCATAAATACTGTCATAACTAAATATGTTTCTGTCCTTTTTCTCTAGGTATCACTCTATCTCCACAAGGAGCTACAGTGCAATTCATAATTCTTAAAGAACTGAAATTATTATCTTCTTAAACATATGCAAAATAATTTGCTAGTGGTGCACACCTTTCATTTGCATTTGCCTTATTTAAGGCTAAGGTTTGCCCTCACCAATGGCATGAAACCTTGTGGAGCATACCAATATACAGTGCCATGCACATTAATTTAAGCACTGCTATAACATGCCAAGCATTAACACATCATGGTCATACTCAATACGTGAAACAAATTAAGTAATGGATAAAATAAAATTAATAAAAGTATACATAGAAATCTGTGATATTATGTGCAGGTGTTCATGTGAGTAACCATTTTAAACCTATTACCCACTGGTTACATCTACACTAGTTTCTTCCAGAATTTATATCTAGGTAACTCACCCTTGGTCCTGAGCTACCTTGTTCTCCCCTTGTGCCTGGCGTGCCTTGTTGTCCTGGAGGACCCTGAAAATGAGACAGCCAAGCAGGATGCAAAGAGGTAAACAACTCAGAATGAACATGGTTTGTCAGTTATTAATCCGTTTCTTATCATCACTAACCTGAGGACCCCTCAGCCCTTGTTCTCCAACTCCTCCAGGGGTACCATTAGGGCCGCTATTACCCTAGAGAATAGGAAAAATATTTACATAAGTACATTTTTTTAATAGTTAGAGACATGTTTTACAAGGTTTTTATCCAACTTGGTTAATCATAAGAATCATTTAGTTTCTTACTTCACTGCATATTGCAAAATTACATTTGAAGAGGGAACGCCAATTGACAACAGGACTGTATACAACAGTAATAAAATATGTTGATAGCAATATGTAAATCATGATTAAACTTCTATAACACAAAAATTGTGTAATATGTTGATAAATGTATTCATTATATATTTTAAGCAATGCTTAAACATAAAATATAGCTATGTGCAAGCATTTTACAGTAAAACAAAGGAAATACAAGGATATTGTAACTACAGAAAACATGATATATGATAAAATAGTCACATAACATGAAAAAAACTATATGGTATTCTGTCAATAAGGAGAAACTTTACCCTCCCAATAAAAAATGTCTTAATCACATTATAGGAAATATTTGGACAATTTACTATTATGTGGGTGAATGTCTGTATTTGTACAAGTACCTTAACTCCAGGAGGTCCTCTACGGCCACGACCTCCCTACAAGGCAACAAAAAAAGGGAATTATAACATGATACTTATATGCAAATGCATGATACTGGATTGCTTAGCTTAAAAGGTAAGTAAAGCCAAAACGTTTTGGTTTGATTCACTATTTTACTCCTGGGACCAAAAGCCAGGACTACTGCCCGCTAACTGCTGCTGACAGCGTAGAGCCGAGTGGCAGCCAGGAAGGATCCTGACAAAATTGTTGGGATACACCCGGCTGCCTGATTGACAGCAGGCAATAACTACCAGTAGTACTCATCAATTTAGAGTTAACAGTGAATGATGGCCCTAAAATGATTGCTCTCGATCCAAAGTTGTCAATCCTCCACAGAGGAAATGACAGGTCCTCTCTATGGAGACAACAGGAATCTGTTGGACCCCTAATGTCACCTACGGACTCCAGTGATGCTGATGAAGCACAGATCATGCTTCACCAGCTTCTTCTCTAGACACAGCAGCTTTGTTGCTTCCAGATCCAGTAACCATAGGGGAGATCAGTCACTGGGAAAGCCAGGTGCCAGCTGCAAACAGTGATGAAACACCTGAAGCCAGATAAAAAAGGCCTGAATTTGAGCCTAGAAGTTTTTAGTTTATAGTTAATTGGAGCACCAGAGGTGGTACTTTGCTGCTGAAGGTGCTTCAAGAGCTGGTTACAGGCTGCTGAGGGGAAGACACTGCAGGAAGTTCTGGAGGCTTATCTGGGTGGGGGTCCACTACTTACAGGCAGAAGAGTACAGAATGCCAGTTGTGACTTAAAGGCCCTTTCAGCATTGATTATAAGTAGGTCTGGAGTCTGCAACAATCTGTTTTTCAGGGTAACCTGTACATTATTCACTCTCTCTCCCTGAGCTTATGTTTTTTCAATAAACTCATTCAATATTCTGAACCCAGTGGTTCTCACTGGCACCCAGTTGTTTTTTTATGCCAGAAATAGCGAAGAACCTCGCCATGAGGTGACATGTCAACCCACCAACCCATCGAGGGGTCCCTACATCAGGGGGTAAGGGGTGTTATATGTAAATGTCTCTAAGCATTCCTTATATTTTACAAATGAACTCTAGTTTTTAGTGCTTTTAAGATATAGTCATCTACTCACAGCTTTCCCTACAACACCATTCGTTCCTGGTACACCATCTCTTCCAGGCTCACCCTGTAGACAGTGAAATAAACTATTACTTCTTGCTATAAAACATTTTGAAAATTCTTTTTTATTCTAAAGGCATGAGAATTTGCATGCTATAAATCTGCCAACAATGAGAAACATATGCAAACAATTTTTTTGTTCAAAAATATAGCAGATTGCTAAATTAATACAATAAATGCCTAAAAGTTAGTTCACTTTTAATTTATAGAACAAATTGAAATAATTAATGAAAGAATGCAAACCTCAGAAACCTCTAGTCGAAACCTGCTGCTTTGGCTTCCATTTTATTTAATGGCTTATTTAGACCTTGTAAATCATCCACTCATAAATGATAATTTTATTATTACAAAGGTGGGTGAATAAAAAGGAAACATAATAGTTAGAGATGACGCATTACTCCAAAGTTCCACTGCTATGTATACACTGATCACTTCCATATGTTGTGTCTTTGAAAAAAACAAGTCCGAAGATTCACCCGTTTAATTGAATAAATGGATCTTCTAACATTCCCTTAACTATAGCAAAGTCATTACATGGTAGAAGTGATCAGAATAGACCATGAGAGTAATATGGAGGCTACCATTGTTGCCAATACCAAGCATGCAACATATTAAACTTAGGGAAAAATCTAATTTCATATGAAATGTTCCCAGCCAATAACCAAAAATACTTTACCACACTTCCTGCTTCTCCTTTTCCTCCTTTTGGTCCTCTCTGAGGTGAATCAGTTCCCTGTTCACCCTAGGAATAAACAGGAATAAATAGTCATAGTAATAAATAGAAATAGTAATATTTCCTGACTATTTTCTATTGATATGATTGCTGCAAATATAGGGAAATGTTCACTAAACAACAGGCACAGCTTGAAAATCATCCCTGCATATATCACACCAGTATTTGAGGTTATGGACAAACATAGCTAGGTACAATTTACATTGATTTATTGACACACTGAAACACTGTATTTTTGCTTGCATGTCATTGGGTGATGGAAGTCAGCAGAGCTTCACCTCATTTACTAAACTAAGGGAAAACCTCCCCTGCAAAATGCAAATTCCCTTGCAAAGTGAACAGCAAATCAACCCCACAGAGTTTATAGTGTGCAACCTATATAACCTACAGTGATCTTTGCTGCTTGTCAGAGACTCACCCGGCGCGTCCGTCCTCTCCAGCGGCGCGCCGTCTCAGCCGTGACGTCACGACGGGGCTCCGCCCCTAGACTGTGGCTTCCCTCCTTAAGCCACGACGGAGACACTCACTCGGCGTTCAGTCAATGAGGAACGTCGAGCGAGGTCTCCCCGCATTCCTCCGAACCAGGCTTATTGCCAGCGCTTCCACCAGCAGATAACCACCCGCAGGGACGCAGCATTCACCCCCACCTCATCTCCAGGACATTGCAGAACCCTAAGGACTCCAGAGCAGCAACAGCATACTCCTCAACCGCAAGTACTGGGGCACTCCCCCTATCTTCTGGTGCTAGAACTGCATCGCCTGACCATAACGTGGTATATATATTAAGGGGCTGTTAACCACTTGCTGCATAGTACTTAAACTATCAATAATCCATGTTCTGATGCTAGGATTGCAGAACCTGATCAAGTTGAAGTGTTTCATATACATGCCTGCATAGGAGACCTGTGAGAATCTGCATAATACATATACCTGTTTCCACTGTATGAATACCAGAGCTACTTAAATCACTGTGATAACCTCTATGCTGCATCCCTTACCAGGTGCTCATTAGTGTGGGGTGTACCATTAGAAGCTACAGTCCCATCACTCCCCATTGCTGCACATTGCAGACTAATAGATTGCTACCCATACTCTGCTCCTTATAGGCCGGGGATACATGATGTGGAACGGTTTCCTATCACACTGAGTGTATTAGGGAACTGTCTATCTGACCCAATCCCATAGGCCGTACTACAGGAGTTCCGCAGCTGCGACCCTCAACCCTATTCCGCTTGCAGAACGTGACACTGCTTTAATCAAATAGTGTTGGCTAGCGCATAGCAGCCCAAAGCTCATAGCATGGTCTTAGATGGACAAGCACTTTTGACAAATGACAGAACTGTCAGCCATTGCTCGCCTGTTGGAGACAAATTATGATATTAAATGTGATATGAAATAAGATATTATATGGCACAATATTAACATTAATTAAGTCTTACCGGATCACCTCGTAAACCTTGATCTCCTCTCTCCCCTATTCCTCCTTTCTGACCTTTTTCTCCCTATAGAACACAAGAAACATTACTTGGGTAATATTGTGAAAGAAACTAAAATAGTAGAAGTAGTAGAATTCCTCAATAGTATACTGATAGATAATTAAAAAAGGGAAAATCAGAAATTTGCAGCCTTTGAGGTTGTATTTACATGCTATTTTAATCTATGTACATGTTATCATCAGTGCAAAGTGATATCTAACTGTGCTTCAACTGACAAAAGAATAAAAAAACATACTAACCCGTGGCCCTTGGCTGCCTCCTTCTCCTGCAGATCCTAGAGAACCTCGTTTACCCTAAAACGATGAAATGATTGTGTCATGTTCAGAAACTCCAAAACATAATTTATATTCATTTTTTACTGATAATAACAGAAAGGGTACTTACTTCTTCTCCATCTATTCCATCCAGGCCAATTTCTCCTACTTCACCCTATGGATACAAACAGTGATTTTATTCAATATTTTACTTGTTTTGGAAAAGTTGCAAAAACTTAGTGGGCAGGAGCTCACCAAAAAGTAATCTGTTGTATTAAAGCTGAGATACATTCATCTAAAAATGCCAATGAATGTAGCTTTTGTGTTTCTTCTGAAAGGGTTGCCCCCATGATAATTGTTTTATCCCCCAATTTCTGTTAAAGTACTGGATACATAGTGGTGAAGCCCTAGATCAGGGAAAGATTCAAAAACACACTGGCCATGACCTGCCACTTACTAAAACCCACTACATGGTCAGTAAATGGAATATTATTGTGGAAGAGTGATGAGGGTGTGTAGATGTTTACTCTAACTCAAAGTGACTGTTGCACAGAGTCACAGAAAATTATCTGCTGCCTTGCATGGGCTATCAATAGGGGAAAGACTTAGGATTCAAAAGCAATAAGCGTATAACTTAATTGGCCATAAGAAAAATAAATATAACTTTACCGGGGTAGCTGCATATCAATTTTATATGGCTAGCCGAGCAATGAACCAGGTCAAAGAGCGAACATATTAAGCATGCAAGTTTAGAATGTTGCAAACTGCTGTATGAAGAAACCTAATTTCCTCATTACTTTGCTATAACACAGTGTGGTAAACTAAGTGAAATTCACAGTATAATTTGGTTTCTAACATTGGCAGGCACCAAATAAGGGTCTTTGTTTAAGGAACTGATTATATTCCAGTGTTTGCTGTTTTACAGCTATCAAACCAATGTGCCAACTCTTCTCTATAACATCTACTCTGGATTTACAGAAAGTTGTCTAAAATATCCATATTCCTGCCCGTTGGCTGAATCTAGGATCCAAAAATCAAATTCAGAAGGATAAATGGATACAGTACAAAATGAGGCTGCACATATCCAGTCTAAAGAAACAAACACAGTGGAATGTTACAAACCAACATGCTATAATTTTACAGAATAGGTGGTACCATAAAGTTATGGTTAGGTACTTAGACCAGTGTGGCATACCGCATGTCTTGCTTTTCCATCTCCTATTATGATAGTAATTCCACAAATGTAATGTCTCTGAGTCAGAACATGGCTAGTTTAAAGGAGGCAACATCAATGTATTAACTGATATAACTGTTTTTAACCCAAAGTTGTTATTTAGAGTGAAATGATGCTCAAATCATTGACCATGAAATATATTAAGACTATCCGTAAAATTTAATTGTCAGTTTTGAGATGTTGCAATCTTTTGAGCAACAGAAAGCAATAAACTTTAATAGGATTTGTCCGAGCGGAAATTTATGTTTGGCAATGAACATTACAAAAAAATTTGGCAACATTTTCACATTTAAGGAATGCCAAGATAGAATGCTACAATCGGCACTGTATGTTTTTAGGACGATGTAGGGTTTGCTATCGCCTATGCTGCCCGATAATGTACTTGAGATATATGTCACATGACATTGCTGTTTATTTTGTAACTGTAAATGTAACTTATGCTGGCTTGTATTTGAAAGCTTAACCAAACTACTAGTTATATAAGAGACTGTATGAGGCAAAACAATGATTTTAAATGGGATTTAATTTGAATTAGTTTTGTTGTATTAATTATTCCATTGGCCCTTGCTGCTAGTCAGTCCTTTATCATGTTACAAACTAAACTAAACTAATATGATTTCAAATCTTGCCCTTCAATAACTCATCAGACAGCCCACAGGGAATGTATTCTACATAGGACAGTTAATTGCAAATTAGGTTTAGCAGCCCAATCTGGCACAATAGTGAGTCTGTGAATTGGCAACTTAGCTATTTGTAACCTTTCTAGAAGAATGGTCAGTTTTATATACAGAATAGCCAGTTTGTTCATATATACAATTATATTATGATCAAACTCATGGCTCACGAACCATAAGCATTTTAAAGGGTACGTTACAATCTCGTCGATGTGATATCTGTATAGGCTAGTCAAACTAATTTATTTTATACTGATGGGGTAAGTATGCTTTCTCTTATTAATGTGGACAGTCAGAAGTGTACATCTGTATTGTGTTTATTGTACAGTCTATCTTACCTTATCTCCATTGAACCCACGGCCACCCTAGAAAAGAAAAGAAAAAATGCTTTTTAGCTTGGAGAAAATAAGGTTTAAGCATTAACTCAATAGCTAAAGACACAGGTGACCTTACCTTGCCTCCTCTTGGACCTGGACATCCCTGGAAACCTTGTGTTCCATTCACACCAGGAGGACCTCGCTCTCCCTATAGCAGAAATAAAAAGGGCCATTAGATTATGTCTTCACTCAGTAATAAAAATTAAGATAATGCAGAACTTTATAGCAATGTTAGGGCTTTTATTTTATTGCATTTGGAAAGATAGTGTGGTACATGTACTAACCATGAAAAGACTACTTAAATAAGGAATCAGCACTTACTGGTCCTCCTTCTTCTCCTGGGAAGCCTTGGTGTCCTTTGAGACCTGGTGCACCCTACAAAAATAAGAAAAACATAAATCATCCCTTCAGCTTAGTTATAAAGCCAATGGAGGATTACAGATAGCTGTATTTGGCTCATCATAAATTGTTTTTTGCGAACAACTAGACTGATGAATCAACAGTTACTTAGTTTAATCAGAATGTGCAGGCATAAATGCTGTTCATGTGTCTGCATTTTATTTTGTCTTAGTAGATTTTTCCCCCAAACATATCTATCTATCTATCTATCTATCTATCTATCTATCTATCTATCTATCTATCTATCTATCTATCTATCTGTCTGTCTATCTATCGCATGTGTATTTATTAGTCTGCATTTTATTGTCTTCCATTTTTTACTTTAGTTGAAGCTTATCTCATTGATTTTTGAAGGTCCTTTGCAGGCTAAATAATGTTTTCCTAAAATACAGATCAATTTTGTGACCGAGTTTATTCAAAAGATACATTGTACCATAACCTTTGATTCTTTCACAATAAAAGTATAATTTCATATTATTGGCAAATACATGTGTACTGTAGATTTAAAACTTCCATAATGCCAAGGTTACTTTTACTACTTTTTTCTTGTTGCCAAGCAATCCTAAGGTCCGGAAACACCATGTAGGATTGTTGCACTTATTTATGTATTGGAACCATAATAAAAAAAAGTAGAATATCAGACAACTGAATGTGTTAAAATAATATGAGATAATGGAAAAGAGAAAAGAAAAAAAAGAATATAAGGTAATAGTAGCAGAGAAGAAAAACAAAACAAAGAATAATACACTGTTGATTAATGTCCTATATTTTATATTAAACCAACCTTTGTTCCAATGACACCTGGAGGTCCAATATCACCTCTCTGTCCAGAACATTTGCATGGCACTCCACAGCATCCTTTTTCTGCAATGTTATCCTGTGTTAAAGGAATGAAATAACACATGAGACATCTACCCTACCAAATGAGATAGGAATGATGTATTTATTTGGAATGAGCTAGGATATTGCATTACTAGATCAGCAGTAAACTGCTTACATACACTGATCAATGTTCTCTAAATGCAGGTGTTTTAGATTTATTTAATTAATGAGGATTTCCTGTTTTGCAAAAAACATCAGGTTTCATTTATAAATATGTTATTATTGTAATAACACCCACCTGATTCACGTTTCCAAACGTTCTTTTTCAGTACAAATTTAACTCTGATAGGGTGCTATGTGGGCACTACAAGCATTTCTCATTTGCTAAATAAAACTCACCATAACAGTCAATATAAGTCAAACTAAGACAGGATTGATTTACCAGCTCTTCGATGATCTCATAATCCAGATCCACACGGTTTAATTTCAATGGGTTATTGTAAGTGAATCCTCTTCCAAATTCTAACTGCATAATTTGATCAAATCTGGGAACACTTTCCAACCCCACAAATAACAGCGCCTTCACTCCTGTAAAATATGATTTAAAAATATTGAAACAATAAAGTTAGTGAAAATATGTTCTTGGCATTAAAGTAAACCTGTTGCTTTATCCTGCATGTGCATAGCACAGGTTTATATTAGAAGTCCATGCACACCCAAAAGAAATTATTTTTGGGAAATGCCCTTCATACGAAATGTCAGCCAGCTGCAATTTTCTGTAACAACTGCAGGGACTTCCTAACCAAATTTTATGACCTCGCCCCTGTCATTGCCAATACTATCTCACTTCAACTTAAGTAACTGTGCCATTCCATGCTGCTAAACTATATATTTATTCCTGCAGAATGTTCTACAGTGAGAGACGACAGAGCCAGTCCACCTCACTTAATATGTGGTGTAGAAAATAATAATTAATGTAGTGAAGAAAAAAAGTTGGTGCTTCTAGAAATTCAACATGTCCATCGTGACATATCAGTTTTCTATCGACTTGCTGATATTTTCAGCCATTTTTTACATGTAAGCTCACACAAGCAGGGTCCTTCAAAACCTAATTTATTAAATTGTATTTTAACTGTACTGTCATGTTTTATTTGTTAACTGCTGCACAAACTGGTGGCACTTTATACTGTACACCCTGTATTAAAATATTAATTGAAAGTTACTTCTTCGTGCACCCCTATTCTCACCATCTGGGTTTCACTGGGAAGAATGAACACTTACCTGAAGCTTGTAAGGCTGCAGAAGCTTGCTGCAATTCAGACATGTTTGCATCAACTCCATCTGTCATGTGGATAAATAGTATTTACGAACAAATTTTCGTTGCAGCAAAGTGACATTAGAAAGAAAATGTGACTTTTTTTAACTTTTGACAGTCTACAGAGACAACAAAAAAAAATACAGCGAAAATTTTTATTTGACTCTCTGCAAGAAAAAATACCCAAAGCTCGTCGACACAACCAATCCCCACGAACTCGGGACAGTCATTATGACAGTTCTGCTCCCGAATGTCAAAAAAGGGGTGGAACAAGGCCTGAGATGCCACGACTCGCTCTGCTCCTTTGTTGACATTCGAGTCAGAGCTGTCATTTTGTGGCGAGAGTTGTTGGGTTCGGTCGTGTCAGCGGGCGTCGGGTATTTGTTTTCTTTCGAGAATCGGCAGCCATTGTCCATCGTGATTGATGTGGATATACACCGCTAGATGATATGATTTACGCTGGATGATATGATTTACATTTGGATTACATCGATGGACATTTTTTATGGGGTTGGGATTTTTTTTCACATGAAGGATTTTTTTTTACGGTGTGGTATGTTTATTTACAATTTTACTTTATTTGGTGAACGAGTAGGGGTAACAACTACCCCTTATGCATTCACAAAGGGAGGCAGCATCTGGGTGCCCACTTTATGAAAGGGGCACTCAGATTCCTATAAGCCCGCCTGTCTGCAGAAGAGGCCCTTGTCCCAATTGACAATTGGTCTCCCCGGCAAAGCACCCTCCCCATGTTGACTGAATGTGGCCTGGTATGGTGCACGCTTGCCCCCCCACCTCCCCCCCTTCCTGCTCTGGCAGGCTGCTCGGACCAAGGGTCTTATAAGAGGTTTTTCTTTGCCATTGGGGTCCCCCCTAAAATTGGATGGATTGGGAAGGGGACTACGCTATGTTTTTTTAACATTTAACAACATAAATTAATTCGGAAAAAATGTTGGATGCATCCGAAATTTTCATTATCAAAAATTTGGAAACGTTCGGATTCATTATTTTTTCATTCAGGAATTCGGATGCATCAGAATGTCTGAATATAACAAAATTTGTACGAATTCCAATTCAGAACGAAAGAATCGCACATGTTTATTTAAAATATAACTGCACATTCACTAAAACATATACATTTCTCAGGCACCACATTCTTCAGTATTCAGTGAGCTTCTGAGACCCAAACTTATCCTTAGCAGACACAGACTGGCTTTCATCCATTGGTTTCGCTACTCATCTTTAGATACCTTGTGTATTATCCTCAATAAGTCCTTTCCATTCTCTGACTCCTCATACATGGAACCACATGGAAATCATACTGTTCTCTCTCAGCATAGCCACTTTTTTATGATTGCACTGCCTGCTTCTGCTCCAACTTCCACCCCCACCCAGCACATACTTCACTTCTGACAGCACATATTGTTTGTTAGTGTAGGTGGAGATACGGGAATAATATTTCACTTCATGCTGGTGAACTTTTAATGAAGACTTCTCAAACACAGAACATAGAATCTTGATCACTGAATCAGTCACTAACTTTAACAACAGAAACGATACTCAACTCTGGTTGATGCACCTTCTGCTATAGCAGTCATTCTTTACAGGAATCTCTGTAAGTAGACAACCCCTGGGGGAACATGGCCCAACCCCATGTTTGCTTTAGAATGGGGAAAGCACTGTTACATGATCATATGGCAGTTCTAGGTTTTTCTCACAACACAGGAAAAGGGGTGTTACTCTAATGACTGCCTACGCAGAAATACTTTCCTCACTGAGCAGCTAGTGCCCTTTCTCCTGATTGGGGAGAGCTTTCCACCGATCACAGAAAAGAACCTTTGCTACCAGTGGGAAAGTAGGGTCAACTCTCTTTAAGCCCCTGTAACAACTTCTTACAAGCTTGTTTATAGCAATGATGGTTGCAGTCCCATGGCCAGGCCATGCTGCTGGAAACAAAAATGTCCCTCTGTAGAGGTAACCAGTTATTTCCGACTATTTTTCATATGCTGCACAGACATGTACAAATGCCAACATTCCAAAACACTGTTCTGTACATAAATTTATTTTTGTTAACACTCTCCTACAATTAAAACATGTTTTAAAAAAAGCAGTAGAAAGTAAATTGAATCTGTCATACCTTAACGCTTTTGGGTTCCCCGGCATTGTTGAATTTGTTCAAATATGTCTGCAGAGTTCGGCCATTCAACACATAAGGCCCTCGAGTGCCCATGGTAGTGATTTTGTCAGCCAGTTCTATACGGTAATCAGAAAAGTCAAATGCCTCCACAGGCCCTGTTCTGCCCTGTGACAAGACAGCAACTTTCACCGAAGGCTTTTTGTCACCACTGCAACTTATTTTTTGCATGTTGGAAATTCGTTCCAGAATTTGTCCTAGTTTAGGCTTCAGCCCTCTCTGAAATGCAAAGACATCTTGCCCAGCGCTTACATCGACATCAAATCCTATAATCACCTCCAGATTACAGTCTGAAAAGAGATAACAATTATGTTTCTCCACATGTTCTTTCTGGTACACAACATGTTTGTTGTGTATTGCACACTCAGTCTAGAAACATTAAAGTACACTAAGTTGTAAAGTCTGGCTCTGCATGCTGTTGTCAGTAGTCTATAGATGATTAGCCCCAGATTGTATCTAATTGAAAGTGACAATTAATAATCACATCCAATGTGTAAATGTGAATGTACAGTATATCTCATAAGATGTAGTAGAATCTCATACTTTATCTTTGGAATATTGTAACTACTTATTATGAAAAATACATAAATGATAAGAATCAAAATTATGCCATAAACCTGGAAAGAATCAAATGCATTGTTGTTGTTAGCACATTAGCACACTACTACATTACCTATTTAGTAATAGCTGCATATGGATAGCAGATTAGTGTAACAATATCATCAGTGCTTACTATAGGTGGTGACATAGCCCTGAGAATGAAGGATGGGGAGATAATTGTCCATACTTAAATTACCTGAATACTGGGATCTGCCACTACACACTGGCTATGCTGGCAATGGGACAATCACAGTACCTTAATCAGGGCTCAAAATGTCAAGTCCTGAGCTACTAGCCAGGCCTTAGGAGTTACTAGCCACCAGTTGCCCCACCTAAACCTTACCCTGCCCCGGCCTTAACTCCGCCCCTAAACCCCCCCTTATGATAATTCTTATCTTATGATAGTTGCCGCTTGTAAACGGCAGATTAGAAGCAGAAGGAAGCCGGAGCTGACAGGAGCTGCTCTCCGACACAGATGCAGACCGTAGAGCTGCTCCTGCAAGTCAGGTACGCGGTCTGCCTGACATGTCAGCTGGCTGCGGGCAACATAGTACCGGCTCGCGGGCCGGAGTTGTCCCGCGGACCGGTACTTGGAGACCCAAATTTCCAGGCGAGTGGAAATTTTGAGCCCTGCCTTAATTCTTTCCTCTACATAAGAGGATATCTTTACAGAAGCTTCCTGTTTGGTGGGCCAGAAGATGTTGCTGTATTCCTTATCTTACGTACTTACTGATCTTTCAAGATCCCATCCAAACAGTGGACAACGCAATGGGTGTGTGTATGGCAATTTTATCCAACAGCATTGGTGGACTTGTGGGTGCATCCATCCATTTCTACATACATATCACACATACTTTGCTATTTTCCATTTACTTCCCCATCATTCATGGTGTTCTCCTCTGCTCACCCCTGACCTATTTCCTTCTCAGGTTTTCCCCACACATGGTCTCCTTTCCTGTGAACCTGTTCAGCACCCTTTCACAGCCCCTGTCATCCTTTCAAATATCAAACAACCACTAACACACCACTGCGCTGCAGCACTCTCTTTCACCAGCACTGCTTTATCACAGAAAAACACCATATCCCCCCGGCTGCCTCTCCCAGCTCTGCCAGCACTTTTTTCAATCAACCTCCTCTATAATGTAGGGTATGAATCTGTAAGCCACCAATCATTTGCAAGGAACATAGAAAGAAACAGTATTTTTGCATTAAAGTAATTGATGAGGGAAGTGAGCCAAGCTTTCACCAAGCAAAGGGAAAATTCCCTTGCATACTGAAAAATACTTTGCAAAGGGAACAGCCTATTTGCCTTTAGTAAATCAACTCCCATATCTCACAGCACCCTTGGTCATGCCAGTCCTTTTATGCATCACTACTTTGTTCCTATTTGTATTTGAAGTCCAGCTTCCTCCCACAGCCCTGCAATTCTCCACATCCTTGACTGCTTCTTCTAGCTGGCAGTCCAATACTTTCACTCAATACTTTTCCTCACGGTTCTCACGGTTCACACATTCTTGCTACATTTTACACCACCCTCAGTCATGACAGTCCTCTCACCTTCAGCCCTCTTATTAAGTACATCTGTCCTGTCAGCCCTCACACCACCAGTCCCCTGTCCATCTGGTAGCTACAAACACATCTACCTCTTTTGAGCAATAGCTAACCAGAATTAATTATGGGGACTGGAAGCAAGACATGGAATGAGGAAGTGAGGATATGTAGGGGTTGGAATCCCCACTAAAGGAAGTTTTGATGCAGCACAAGCGAGTGAATATTTGCAATTGACTGCTAACATTTTGCATTTAGTCCTCACAAGCCAATGCATGCAGAGGAAGAAGGGCTAAAAGACCAAGGACCAAATAATCCATGCCCACAAATGACATGAAGACCACATAATCACACACTCACATTAACCAAGAAGAAAAGATTTACAGTAGAGGGTGCTGCATATTATAGGGATGTAAGGGATGTGGACCTTTGTTGCAGAGCCAATGGCTTCATGACTGAGAAAGAACTCTTGTTTCCAGAAAGTAAATTTGTTCTGAGAGGAACTGCAAAAATGTTAATATTTACATTTTATGGGTCAAAATTTGTTGAGTCTAATCTCAACCTCAAATGTGTTTTACTAAAGTGACTTTCTTTTAGGTTTGTTAACTAGAATAGATTAAATTTGTGATGGGCTGTCTTTGAGCAAACTCTTCACATATTCATCTTGGGGAGCACAATAGGTACATGCAAATGCATATGTCTACTATTAACAAATATGTGTCATTCAATTTCAACCGTTTAATTAGTAATATGCCTTTTGGTTGGACAAAATAGTCACAAAATAAATCCATGCTACCATTAAGAAGAATTAGTAATAGAAAAAGGAGACTTAAAAAGTCCACATACCTTTGACAGCACCAATCATATCTGGGCAAATACTCCTCTTCTGCAAAGCCGTCTCTAAAGTGATCAGAACCTGTTCATTCAGCTCCGAAAGAGCCTGCACAGTTGGTGCCCTGAAAGCACTTGGTGCTTCACTTGCAATTTTAGTAATCTCTTCATTACTAATAGTCCCTACTCCGATGGAAAATACTTTGACTCCCTTGCTGGCAAGAGCAAGTGCTGCAGATTGTCCATCACTGACTGACTTTGCCCCTGTGATAATGAAAGCAACCTGAGGAACACCTGTGCCAATTCTGCTGCCTGCTTCTTTTACAAAGTGCTTGTCCTGTATGTGACGAATAGCAATGCCAAGGTTGGCCAGACGTCCTCCTTTAAACTCTGCTTTGGTTACAGCATCCATGATTATGTCGCGGTTGTTGTGGTCCTTTAGGAAAAACTCATCGGTCACATCTGAATTGTACTGAGCCAGTCCGATCTGAATGGCATCATCGTCTTCAATTACAGCATCCACTATGCCAGAGACAAACTGAAGGACCTCCTTAAAGCTATCCCTTCCTAAATTCATGGAGCCATCCACAAGGAAAACAATATCAGCTTCTTTCTTCCCAGCTAAAAGAGAATAGAAAAATGCACCTTTAAGATGTCTGTACCACTGGCATTCATGCTAGCTCTTATACAGTCAAATGTCTTATGTATAGTTCATATTTTGGAGCTGCTCTAACTTCAAACAGATTGGAGTTACAGTAGGTTTACCCCATAATTAATTTGATAAGGTAGTCAACCAGTAGTTTTCCAACCCATCTCTGTCAGTACAGTCAACAAACGGCAGTTTGAGACCCTGCAAACCTATTTACCTAACCCACTAATTATATTTGTCGACAAATTGATTTCTTTTGGATTGCAGGCTTTAAAGCCTAGCTATGGGTCCTGGATTCCCCCACCCCACTCCCATTTTCCCATTCACCCCGATTTGAAAAATCCTGCAGTCTTAAATAAATCGTTATAATACCCTTTTTCCAGGTGTTTTTATTCAAGTGTTGTGAAATCATAGGTCCCCTTGACCTTCTATCTCCACTGGTGGGCAGATCCTAATTGCTGTGGAGAACAGCTCCAAGTATTTACATAACAGAGCTCTGCAGCATTCTCCAGTGAGTCCAGGATGAGGCAAAGCCCTTCCTGGGCTTCCAGGAAGTGGATTGAATGGCACAGTGACAGGACACTAACTCAGAAGAAGAACTAGAGTGGTGAGCAAGTGAGTCTGCAGAGGACAGGGCACATGTTAGGCTAAATAGAGTATCTGGAGCTGCTTTTTTTATTTTTAAAGAGGTTAGCTACAGCAAATTCCTGTGAAATGCAGATAGCAGTAAGGTAACTCTAAAAGAGTGTAATCAAGCAACTGTTCAGCAGTTCAGTTCTCAACTGAAGTTAAAAGTAATAGATTCAACACAGGAGAGGACTGCTATAAGTGTGGGAAAAAGTAAGTGTGGGAAAAGGTAAAAATATATCTAAAGACTCCAATGTGAGTCTATACAGATCCTAAATCCAATGATGACCAAACTTTATAGGGTGAAAAAACATCCTTTAATTCTCTTGAGGGAGCCAAATTTTTCTTCACTTGTGTCTCCCAGCTCACAATGGGAAGGTTTCTGCTACAGGGTTAGTGTTGTTAATCCAGAAAGCAGTGTGCAGAGCCAGGTGTGGTCAGCTGCTTTTTACCAATCTACAGGCTTGTGAATCAGCAGTGACAATTTTGATGGCCACACTTTCTGCAACATCTTCTCCCACTGTAATGCAAGCAGTCATTCATGTGAGGGTGACAATGCTGCTCTGAATTCAGGAGCCTTTCAACAGATTTGTCACCTCATTACAGGAAGCTGCATGGCATGGACCTCACTGATAGGATCAAAAGGTATTTGTGAGAATTTGCAGGAGGACTAAGAGAAATCACAATTACAATTAGGTGTTTTAGCACATATTTTTTTTAAATGAATGATCAAGGTTCTACTTTAAGGACAGTCTTTATTAGAGTAGCTGATAGGACAGGTCCTACTATAGTATATTTCTTATAACTTATTTCGCATAACTTATAAAATGTTCTATGTTATATCTTTGAGCTGCTTTTTTCAGTTACAGCGCATAAGAATACCGCAACCTACTTGCATTAAAATAGAACTGAAAGTTTTTTTTGGTAGAAGAGACTTTGAGAGGAATTTATCAAAACTGGAGCAGACAAAATCTGGAGCAGTTGCCAAGGGCAACCAATCAGCTTCTCTCTTCAGTTTGTTTAGTTAAGATTTGAAAATGAAAGAGAGAAGCTGGTTGCAGTGCACAGCTGTTCCAGATTCTGTCTGCTCCAGTTTTGATCAATTCCCCTCTTTGTCTTTTATGCCAAAAAATACTTTGCCTTTTAGCTATCAATGTTTAAAAAATGGAAACTCCCTGCAAAGCAGTGTATACTTCCGGGATCTCAAGATGAAGAAAAGTGCAGCTGAGTGAAGTGTTATGGTCACAGGAGAAATGATGCCAGGTGCAAAAGAACCAATGGTAGAGAACAGTAGTGGCAGGGGTGGATTGGTGACAGAGAGTGCAGTGCTATCCTTGCTGTCAACTCAAACGTAAGTTTGCTATAATGTGCAAGTATTCCATGCATACTTGAACATTATAGCAAGTGCTCCCACTGTCCCAACAGCTTTCATTCCACTGTAAAATTAGGAACAGAGCTTCAACTTTCTTATTCACAATTCAAAGAGCATAGCTAAAAACAAACAAAAACTAATTAGCAACACTTACTGGATGCAGGTTCTAGCACTGATGGTGAAGTTGGGTCAATGGGTCCTGTAAAAGACTTGAATAATATGGTTTCAATGTTTGGAAGCTCAGTAAATTCTTTGATGGTAAAAAGGTAACGTGGGTCTGTCACTATGGTTTCTATTTCAGTCCTGTCAGCACCGCTGGTAGCTACAGCAAGCGATTTCACCCCATTAGTTCCAAGTATCCTTGCTGCTCCCCTGACATCATCTCCAGATTTTCCTCCAGTGAGGAGTACCAAATGCTGGGGAACTCCCTCATCTATTCTACTGCCAGCTGATTTCACAAATTGATTTTTGGACACATAATCCAGTGCTTTCCCAATGTTCAGTGACGTTCCTCCTTTGAGTCGTAGACGGCGGACACTGCTAATCAAGTCTTGCTTGGTCGTATGGGTTTTTAGGTAGAAAACTGAGGTAGGATCATTACTAAATTGAACCAGGCCAACCCTGACTTTATTAGGTTCAATTTGAAAGTTCTGAATAACTTTAATGATGAAATCCCTGATGTTTGCCAGTCCTTCAGAACCTGTCTTTGTAGAGCCATCAACCAGGAAGACCACATCCCGCCTGTCTGGATCAATTTCTAGAAAGAAAAATTGCAAGTCACCTGAAAATGAAGCTTTCCATTACTGTACTCTTGCAAGGCAGTACATACAGCATTGTAATGCATTCTGAATTCATGGAATTAATGCAACAAGATGAATAACACAATTTCCCTCCCCGGAAATGGCTTTTCAATAAAGCAAAGCAAAAAGTAAACATATAAAGTACAGCCCAATAGGCTGTATACAAAGTAAAGCCCATAGGAAACATTCTATTTTACTGGTCAAATTACTTTTCAGTGATATGGCCAGTAAAAAAAAAATGTCAGATCACTCTGATTTGTTGAAATGGGTTCCTGCACTTTGCCTCATAGAATAGACCTGTTTATATTTCAGTTTATTTGGCTCCAACGTCCAGTGCATTTTAGCTTGCATATATTATTTTCTAGGATATATTTATAAAATAAAGATAATTACCATTAGTAACAACTGTGATTTGTTTATAAATCTTGCTTATCTTTTCTTGATCCAGGGTGGTGACCGATGTCAGCAGACTTTCATCCAAGTTCGGCAGTTCCCGGAAACTAGAAACACCGTATATGAATTCCTTATTCAAAGTGATTTTACTGGCCTCTTCAGAATCTATATTCTTTCCAATCAAGAATGGAACAATGGAAGATGATTTAATCTGTCTTGCGCCTTCATCTATGTTATCTGATGAAGGTCCGGAGGAGGTCAATATAAGGAACTGAGGGACTTGCTCTTCTACTCGGCTTCCAGCTGGCCTTGTAAAAATGTTTTTAGATACATACTCTAAGGCATTACCGATATTTGCTGATGATCCTCCCTTTGGTCTTATCCTTCTCACTGCACTCTGAACCTCATCTTTAGTGGAATGAGCATTTAGCAAAAACTCTACTTTGGGGTCCTCACTGAACTGGATCACAGCCACCCGAGTATTATCTTGGCTGACATCCAATGTTTCTACTAGGCGTCCAATTAGCTCTTTCACATTGTTAAACTCAGGAGTAGCATCCCTGGAACCGTCTATAAGAAACACGACATCCCTCTTTGCACCTATAATTAGATCGATAAACAATTATTATGAATCTTGATGCATTTTTTTCCTAGTAATAGGTAACCCAATTACACATCAAGCAGCACAGTACAATTTACAGTAGAGATTAATTATTTTAAATGTAATTCTCCATATAATGACAACTATGTTTGTGTTAATGTAATGTTACAATATATTTTGGATACACAGTATAGTCTACTGTAAAAAATGTTACCATTGCTCTGAGACTTACCTTCACGGGTGGGAAATGAAGGTGTCCTTTTCAGAATTTCAATATCATCAGTCTTAAGTTCAGACACTCTTGTTGTTATGATCTGGTAAACATTTCCTAGTTGGCTAATGTCAGAAACAGGAATGGCAAAATCTGGCTTAAAAGAAATTGTCTGCAGCTCAGTAGTGTCAGCATTGCGGACTCCTATGGCAAATGGAACTACTCCAGAATTTTTGAGGTTTGAGGCTGGTCTCTGAACATTATCTCTTGACCTGCCAGTTGTCAGCAAGATTAAGAATTGGGGCACTCCCTCAGAAGCCCGACTGCCAGCTGAACTGGTAAACACATTTGTAGTAACATAGTCCAAGGCTGCTCCTGTGTTCAGTGTTGAACCTCCCATAGGTGTTAGACTTTGTACAGCATTGAGGACTCCCTGGCGGTCTGGATGAGTGTTAAGCTGGAAGTTGGGTCTTGTGGTATCACTGTACTGAACAACTCCTATCCGAATCTTATCCTGATCAACATCAAGCCCCTCCACCACTCTCTGAATGAAGGAGCGTAGAGATGGAAAGCTGGATCTGCCTTCATTGGATCCATCAATCAAAAATACAATGTCCTTCCTTCTACTTAAGTCATCTAGATAATAAAACAAATACGTAAATACAGGTCTATGGATTTGCAACATGTTCACGTTTAATTACAAAAAAAATTAATGAGAGCATTCTTTATTTACAATATTTAAGAGTGTGATTCAATATTCTAGCTAAGTATTGGATTCATAACTAAATTGTTTTTTTCAGCACTCTAGGTCATCAGTGGAATTGTGAATACTTGTAAACTTGCAACATTGTGAATTTTAGATTTGTTATGACTTTGACTCTGTCACACACAAAATATCTTAAAAAATTGTATGTTATAACTTTCAGATACATTAAGAATTTGTAAGCACCTCTATCAGTTTTTTTTTTTTGCTGTATGTGTCTCAGTGGGGATATACTGTATCTCTTCATGTCATGTGCCAGAGATACAAAAAAAAGTGAGAGATAACCTGTTCAATGGACACCTAACCTCATGGGCAGTTGTAAAGTAGGTGTTCCCACTGGAAGATTTCCCCTTGTTTCCTTCTCCAGGTACAAACTTAAAATTGTGGATAGCTAGTCCATCACTTTATGCACCAATGACAATGGTATCAGGACATACAGAGAAGGTAAATCTCCCCTGGACAGAGACAGACAATAATAAAACAAAAACTGACAGAGGTTCCAAGCATTGCCTACTCTATCCAAAATTAGAAAAAAAAATTGTACTTAGATAAACAAAAAGAAAACAGATTTGTAACCACTAGTCTCTATAGCCCAGGGCTTTTCTGTCTACTTGTTACACAATCTTAATCAGGCAAAAGGATTATTACTACCAACCAAGATTTCATTAATAAAATAAATATTTATTTTAACACATTAAAAGAAATACAAAAAAATAATAATTGTTTGCATTTTTGATTATTGACTGGTAGTAAAAATCATTACACCTGATTAAGATTAAGTAAAAAGAGAACTGGAAAGCCCTGGATTGTAGAGACTTAATAGTGGTCACAACAAATCTTTTGTTTTATGTCGGATAATTAAAATACTGACCACAGTCAGTACTCCAAGCGCTTTCTCTTCTTTTAGGAGCACACTGGTTCTTAGGTGCAGAGATAACAAAATTGATATCCATCTCTCAGGCACTTTCTTTAGTGATACAGAATATTAATTGCTTTGATGGTAATTCCATAAAGGTTTCCAAACTAAAAAAACATTTATTTTATCTAAATGGCAGATGTTATTGCAAGGTACTTCTGTACTTCTGGGCCCCATGGCTACAGTGGTTTTGATTAGGTAACTGAGACCTACCCTTCTTTTCATACTCTTTGCTCACCAGACAGTGGTTTTCACTGGGTTGCTCAGTGATTGCCTTTATATATAGGCAAGTTTCAATTCTGATAAATTTGTCATAACTGGCATCATATTCTATGTAACTTCTTGCTACTTGTAAGTGTGTACATTTGATGATCCACCGTATACTCATGTGATTACTCATGTGATTATTTATTTAGGACAGTTGGTATTAAATGTATTTTCGGTACTAAACTATGCCAACACTATGCCACGTTTAAATTGTATAATTGTGTTCTTTTCAAGAGTAAATAAATATGTATGGAAAGAAATTATACATGTGTTATTTATTATAATAATAGAAACAATTTTATCTTTAAAATATTCGTCATAGTGGAAAGTATTTGAGATAAGTTTGTATCTATTGGACCTCTAGGAAAAAGACCAAATCAACTAACACAACTTCTTTGTAAAAGATGTAAAATTCTTCTGAGCTTGCACATTAAAATCTTTTTTTTTCCAAATAATAATCTTTATTACTTCATGGTCCATATCCATGTTTCCCTAAGCTATGTTCTTCAAATGCTACACTGAAAGGAGTGTAGAGAGCGTAGGGTCACCTATGTGTCCTCCTGCAGTCACTGCAGCACATTGTACCAAATATCCTTTTGTACTTCGTCACTCTTATTTTACTTTCTGCAGCTCAAAGTACACCAGTTGTGGCTGAAACCATCTTTAAGTTAGTAAAATACAGTAAAACCATATACAGTACAGTATATAGAAATATAAGCTGATTTCAGGAGAGCAGTGGTACAGCACTTTTGCATGAACCATAGAGATATTTGTGTGTACTGTTCATTTATAGTGTGTATGAAAAAATGCACAAACTATGGATCTGTAGATTTTTCCATTGCACTATATTACTTCAGGTCACATCTGTCCATAATTGTCATAAAAGCTCTGTCGTCCATAGGAAGTTTGCTAATAACATTTGTCTCATTTTGGATGCATTAATGTTGTCTTGTAATCTTGTAATTTAAATTAGTTCTTGTAGTCCTTTAACCAATCATGTATTTAAGTATACTTAAAAAAAAATTCTTTCCACTTAACTTACATATAAGAAGAAAGTGTCATAAATAAACAGAAAATATGTTCTCATATATGTTTTTCTTTTCTTTTTGTGCGCTTTGTTTTTTGCCAAAAATACAAGAGAAGGGAGTACTTACAAGACTGAGTTGGCAGCACGACTGAAATGGTTTTTATGAGATTAACAAACTCAGACTGGATGGTAGAAAGATCTGCAAGAGAGTCTGAGGCTAAAACAAATTGTGGATCCAAAACAATCTTCTCAAGTTCCTCAGTGACAGCTCTTTGTGCCTTGATTGCAAATGTCACAATACCAGCTGTTTTCAGCTTAATAGCTGCATTGTCTACACTGTCTGCAGATTTGCCTGCTGCAAGCAAAACTAAGTACTGTGGTACTCCCTCTCGGATCCTACTTCCAGACTCCGGTGTGAAAAGGCTGTCATGAGCATAGTCCAGTGCAACTCCAAGCTTGAACTCTTTGCTTGGTTTAAACCTCATATTTCGGACTGTACTGACTACATCAGCCTTGGTGGCAAATGTATTAAACTTAAATTCCTCTTTGACATTTTCACCAACTAAGCCCACAGCGACACGAGTGCCATCTGGGCTAACATCGAGACCATCAATGATGCTTGCCACAAAAGTTCGTATACCGGGAAACCTTCCAGCAATATTGGTAGAGCCATCAATCAGGAATAAGATGTCCCGTTTGCTGTCTGCCACTGTACAAAACAAATCCAACAGTTACAAAAATCCAATAAATGCTTAAGCTAGGCAAAGACAAAGTAAATATTTGTTTTGTCCAATACGTCGCAAGATCAGATATTTGCCTGTTTCTCGAAGGTTGCTGATCGCTAGATATAACAGTTGACTCCATCCATTGGACTGATTGTTCATCACGTGAATCTCCAGACAGACAGATATCAGATCTTATTAGAGTTTTTACTTGCTGCATACTTGCAAATTGAATAAAAGTTTCGGAGACTTAGTCAAAAGCCATTTAAATGCTCAGTTTCAGTCAACACAGATTCTCAAGGAACACACTTTTTCCATGATGCTTGAATAATCTTTTGGGTTCATCATAAAAAAAATGCTATTGAGAATTTTTTGGGTTGGAACTTGTTTGTAGTATGTAAACTGTAAAAATAAGCTTGAATAGTCGTCGTATTGGACGGAAAAGTGCCTGTGCCTAGCATAATTCTTTTAAGAAATTGTTGCAGGAATTATTATTTTTTTTTATAATTATTATCCTTTAAAATCCTTATCAATGTATAGTATAAAAATATCCTACAGCCAGCAGACAAATCATAAAAATATCAAATAAGTGGGAGAAATTCGGAAGCACTCAAAGATGTGTTCTGTTACTTTGGTAGTCCATATTTTACTTGTCACTGTCCACTCATGCTATCTTTTTTCAAAAGCGTAATTAACCTATTTTACCAGGGTACTTTATTTGTATCTGGATTAAGCAGCACCATGTGCAGTTATTTCCAAAGCAGGTATTTTGGCTATCATAACCAGACACTATGACCATCAGATGTAAGTCTCAAATACAAGAAATGGTCCTTTTACAAAAGTCCAAGGCTACACGTGCGCCATACAGTATGCAAACACAGCACAGCATGCAAAAAGGTATGATGTGCAATGGGTAATCTACAACCCAGCATACAGAATGAGGCGGCATGGAATATGGAATGAGCACAGCATACATAATGAAATAGTGTAAAATAGAAAATGTACAGCACAGCGTCCAGAATGTGATGGGATGGAATAGGGAATGGGCAGCACAGCACACAGAATGAGACGAATTGTAATCGGGAATGTACATCACAGTGTACAGAATTAGGTGTGCGAAATACAAAATATAAAGCACAGCTTACAATGAGGCGATGTGAAATAGGGAATGTTCAGCACAGAATGAGGTTGTTTTGGAATAGGATATGTACAGCACAGTGCACAGAATAAAATGATGTGGACTAAGCAAAACACAGTGCACAGAATGATGTTTAGAAATACTGAATGTACATCACAGCATACAGAATGAATATGGTTTGGAATAAGAAATGTACAGCACAGCATACAGAATGAAGATGGTTTGGAATAAGACATGTACAGCACAGTGTATGGAATTAGGTGGCATGGAAAACATAAAGTACAGCACTGCGGAACATTTACAGAATGATGTGGTGTGGATTAGGAATAAACAGCACAGCACACAGAATGGGGGTGGTGTAAAACAGGGAATGTACAGCACAGTGCCCAAAATGACAACTTACAAAATGAAGATGTTCTGGAATATGGAATGCACAGCACAGCACAAACAAATGCAGCAAAGGTGGTGTGGAACAAGGAATGTACAGCACAGTGTACAGAATGCAGTGGTGTGGAACAGGAAATGTACAGCACAGCATAAAAGCTGAGGATGTTCTGGAATATGGAATGTACAGCACCACACACAAATTGGCTCAGTGTGGAAAAGGTCACGTACAGTGCAGCACACAGAAAGGAACAGCGTTGAATAGGGAATATACATCATAGTGTGCAGACTGAAGACATTTTGGAAGAGGGTACGTACAGCAATAACTTATAACTATAAGCATGCTAAGTTTAAAATTCCATGGGATTAGGTAAATGCATTTAGTTAAATGTGTTTACCCTCTGTGATTGTTGGACCAATAGTGTTTGCAGCCAATAAGCTGCAATCACTGTGCAGGTATCCTGACAGAATACAATGTGCACAGTGGGAGATTCATCATCCACCTTGCCAGCGTGGATGGAGGAATCTGTCATATCTGAACGAAATGTTTTTTTCCATTTTTAGATGTTGCTTGCAGTTACAGCTCAACTGAATGGAAACATTGTAGTGGTTCAGGTATGGACATCACATTTCAACCCTGAAAGGAGTTCCTGGGCACTTTCATCAAGGGCTTTAGGAACACTAACAGCCACAGCATCTTTGGCCTATCACTGTAATCAGTGGCCAAGGCAGAGCAAAAGCCTGCCACATTCTACAGGCTTGCTCTGCAGGAGGCCCTATTTATGATAAGAAAGCACTGGCCTGGGAGGCACATGCCTACCCCAGGCCCAGCCTGCACCTGATATATAATTACATCATATGTGGCCTGACATACCAGCAGTAATTAGATATACAGTATTTTCTATATCAGCAGCTAGTCTGGCTGACAGAAGGGAAAAATCAGTAGCTGGTTGACAACAGACTCATGTTTTCTATATAAAACTGTGTTTGGATATATTGCTATATGAACACATTTACTAATAATAAAAACATTGTTTGAGTTGCTCTTACCAGCTGGCACTGTCTGTATTAGAGTACGTATATCAGTTGTGGTAAGTGAACTGACACGTTGTGAGAAAGTTTGGTAAGCATTCTCCAGCTGGTTGATTTCAGGAACAAAAAGAACAAAATCAGGAGAAAAAGAGATGGTCTGAAGCTCAGTCCGATCAGCTCTGCTAGTTCCGATGGCATATGGAACAACGCCGCTGGCCTTGAGAGAAGTGGCAGGTCTCCTCACATCATCTCTAGACCTCCCAGCTGCCAGCAAAACCAGAAATTGTGGTACTCCTTCTGCCGCTCTGCTTCCAGCTGACCCAATAAAAATGTTTTTCTGTACGTAATCTAAGGCAGCACCTGTGTTCAGTGTAGACCCTCCAATAGGAGCCATGCTTTGAATTGACCTTATTACATCTTGGCGGTCTGGGTAGGTGTTAAGAAAGAACTCAGGTCTGGAAGAGTCACTGTACTGGATAACTGCAATGCGCACTCTGTCTTGACCCACATCAAGGACCTCTACCACCCTCTGAACAAAGCTCTTGAGAGATGGAAAACCAGACCTGGCATCATCTGAGCCATCAATCAAGAAAACTATATCCTTCTTGAGTTCTTGATCCACTATTAGCAGAGTCAACAGAGAATGAGAGAAAGGGTAGAATGTATTAGTAGAATACTATTTTTGTGAGATTAGCCGATATAAGCAGTTGAAATTAGAAAATGACTGTTTACAAAAAGGATAGTTATCACCTAAAACAAAATGTTAAATTTCAGTGAGTTATACCCTCGCGACACGCCATCTCTACCATATACCAATTGATAACCGCACGCCCTACTGATACCTACCCATCCTTTGTGCGGCGATGGTAGGAGGAATTGGGGATCGTCTTTACGGAACAGCAAATCCATGCCATCATCACCATGTCCTTCAAGTCTTCCATCGCCAGCAAAGTGCCGGAATTAGGTTACAAAATACTGTCCCGCTGGTACAGAGTTCCTTGGCTCCTGCATTAAATAAGACCTACCATTCCAGATACATGCTGGCGCTGTGGCTTGGCTTTGGGCACCATGCTGCATACTTTCTGGTCCTGCCCAGCATTGAAGTCCTTCTGGGACCAGGTGCTCTCTGTTATCCAAGACCTGACCATGGCGGATCTGAGAAATAACCCGGCGGCATGTCTTTTGCACATGTCAGCAGCTCCACTCTCCACTTACAGGCACTCTCTTACATGCCACCTGTTGGATGAAGCCAGAGCGTGTATCCCTCTGCTGTGGAAACAAACATGTCCTCCCACTATTGCACTTTGGCTTTCTAAAATACGAGAGGTATATGCCCTGGAGGACTTAACAACCACCCTTAGAAACACGGAGAGGCAGTTCTTGTCCACCTGGGAAGCATGGATTTATTTCCAACACACTGATCGCTATGCTGATCTCATGTCGAGAGGAGCGCTGGCCATAACCACTCCAGTCATCACTATTCCAAGTTGATTGCCCTGCAAGCAGAGACATAGCTATGGAAATTCCACCGACTCCTGCGATCTAGCACAATGGGGCCTGTCCTGCCGAGGGATACGGACGATGCTCCAGGCATCTCCCTTTCCCCTATCCCCACTCCTTAGCATCCTAGTCTTGCTACTTGCTAATCTTATTTCTCTATTTCTGCTTGCTTCTATTTTTCTCTATTTTGCACTTATTTTACGATGACTGTTTGATATGTTATGAACAAATAGTTCATAACTACTGTGGAGTTATCACTCCAGAATTGCGTTTAACCTATATAAGCAATACAGTTAAGTGACATAGTATATTTCATACTCCTATTGTTATCTATGTATGTTGTTAGTATCAGATATTGGTTTCATGCTTTATGAGGACACACAAGTTTCTGGTGTCTTCCATATGCACTATGCTCACAGCTTTGTGACGTGATTCTATGTACTCATACTTGTATTACGTGTACTGTGTACGAATTCCGATAATAAAAGAATTAAAAAAAAAAATTTAAGTGAGTTAATTGAAAAAAAATATTATTTAAAAATTAGAATTCATTAACCAACAGTTTATTATCAATCTAAGTGCCTCACATATACACACTTGTTCAATGGTTAAGAAGATTTAAATGTACCAGAATTGTGAATTAATATTTAGCTGGTTCGTGGACATGCTGACATGCTGGATGGCGCCATCACAAACTCATCAACTGCCCAATCACACTAAAACCATCTTTAAATTTTCATACTCTCAAATTTGCCAATGTTTACAATAAACCAGAACATGTATCCAAATGCACTGTTATGTGCCAACAGGCCTTCATCTCAAGCTCATTTTATCTCGATTCAAAATTCAAATTATACTATTCATATCTTAGTCATATATATTGGAATGCTTCAATGAGAGACTTTTTCCAGAAAATAGATAACTATTGAATCTGAGACCCATACGGCATTACCTTTTTTTGCAAACCTTTGATGCATACCACAGCTGTATTGTTTCGTATGTATTTCAATCATATTTATTAGTGAAAGAGTAAAGGGGTGATGGTATAAAATAATTTTAGGCAACTTTCACTTTGCTCATATACCGTCCACATCAGCAAATTAATCTTAAAAGTTATCTACAAGTAATCTAGTAATCTTGACAACAAACAAAAAATTACACATTTTCTCAGTTCTCCGGACAATAAATCCTTAAGTGGTCTTTAAGCACATTTTAGATGACTAAACATATAAGACCAGAGAAAATTTTAAAAATTACCTTCCGTTACTGTAACCTCTGTAACTTCTCCTCTAACGAAGGTTGTAAGAGGTGCTAAGATTTGCTCTCTGAGGCCAGGCAAGGCCCTGAAATCATCCATCTCATAAATCAGTTGGGGGTTAAATGCAATGTTTTCCAACTCTTCTTTATCAGCATCTCCAACCCCGATACAAAAGGTCAAAACCTTTGATCTCATGAGGTCATTTGCAGCATCCTTAATATTGTCTGAGGACTTCCCAGCCACAAGTACCACGAGAATCTGTGGAATGTTTTCCTCTATTCTGCTGCCAGCACTTCTTGTGAAATGATTGCGGAGAACAAATCGAAGTGCTGAGCCAATGTTTAAGAGATTACCCCCCTGTGTTCTTATCTGCCCCAAACGGTTCAGGAGATCAGATTTTGAGGTCAGGGCGTTTAGATAGAATTCAGTTTTGGGGGTGTCACTAAACTGGGCCAAGCCAATTCGAGTGCCTTCACTGCTGATACCAAGGTTGTTAATGACATCGATGAGAAAGTCTCTGACTAATGGAAAGTTGGCACTTCCAACGTTGACAGAACCATCCACTAGGAAGACGATGTCTCTTTGGGTTAGAACTGCAAATCGGTGGATGGAGGATACAGAAAACAATGAACATGACATCACAGCAAATTCAGCTTAGCAAGATCATTAAATGCATGTGTTTACATAATGTAGACACATAACTCTTAATAATGCTTATAGGGCAAGCCAAAGAAAGGAATGACAATGAAACAAGAGCATTTGAGCATAGTTAGTCTTAGACAATATCTTCCATCTACTGTATATTTTTTTATATTCTTACAGGTATTCTCAAGGGTTGATTTACTAAAGGTAAATAGGCTGTTCAGTTTGCAGGGGGATTTCCACTTTGCAAGAGTTTGTTTTTCCCTCAACTTAGTGAAGCTCTACTGACGTTTATTATTCAATCATGTGCAAGGAAAAATACTGTTTTTATTTTCCTTGCACATGATTGAGTATTTTAAGTAAAGTGAATGTTCACCACATTCACTAAGCTAAGAGAAAATTTCCTTGAAAAGGGAATTTCCCAATGCAAAGTGAACTGTCTATTTGCCCTTTATGTTAAACAATGTCAACATCAACAGGATATCATATATCTGTGCTGATTTGGGATGATCCTAGTAATATATACTGTTGAAAAGAATGTAAATTGAAAATAATCTTAACCGCACCAAAAATTGAAAATTTGGTGAAACCAAGTGAGCCCAGGAAGGAAGAAAGAAATATGGCAGCTTATTTGCTGACTTGTTTTTAAAGGTGCAAATTACAGGTCTTTCATACCAGACCTGGCCTTGCTACAAAGTGATTTACCGAGAGCAAGTATTCAGCAAGTGTAGCCTGAACACCTGCATGTATGTAGTGATTTTTAGGTAGTGAAGCAAAGACCTGGATGACAGCTCCAAGGCTTCATACAAAGTCAGCAATGGCAGCTCCCATATTTATATCCACACATGGTCAGTTTAAAGGCCAAAATAAATGCTCAAGGCAATCTTCGTAGCCCTGCTTGTAAAATCATAATCTATGAACACACATCACTCAGCCGTTCTTATTTTTTAGGACAGAAAGCAAGAACAGATGTGGTTTCTGTAAAGTGTGGCTGGAGCTTATCAATTTGAGGGTATGGCCTTGAATTATACTGGTTTAATGTTTTCCATCCCAAAGGGATATGTTAAGGGCACGATCTACTCTTTTGCCCCATTGAACACAACTGAAGACAAAAAAAATTTCTAGCTAAATGCTGGTAATCAGAATATTGATAAATTAAAAGAGAACTATGGGGTAAGTGTTTTTCCCCATAGTTCTCTTAAGGGTCACGGGAGGACATAAAGTAGCGTCCTCCCAAAGCTCAGTATATTGCGAGCTACGGCTCGCGGTATATTGAGACCACCACAGCCGGGACGGATCCCGACATTACTGTCGAGATCCACCCAGCTGCGTGAGTGACAGCTGGCTCTGCCTATCTGGAGGCAGAGCCAGCTGTACTCGCCCGCTTCCCCGTCCATTCCTTCAGTCAGCGCTGGAGGATCGGAGCGGGGCGGGGGGGAATCCCTGCAGGGAGCCGTGACTGTCAGTCATGGCTGTCTGCAGGGACATGATCGAGAAGTGAGCGAGCGACAGTATGCGTTCGCTCACTTCACAATTTATTGAGCCGACGTGTGAAGTTTAATGGTCACACGTCAGCTCAAACTATGAGGTTGAGTGATTTTCACTCACCTCATAGTTCTCCTTTAATATAAAGTAGGTTATACTTGGGCAATTAGTTATTTTCTAGCAATCCACCCAACATTACATTTTTAGCTCTGGGTGAATCTAACCAAGGTGACCATCAAACTCCATTAAAATACATGACATTCATCAGTTATTTGTATGCGTCACTCTTGTTCACTTGGTTTATAGGAGATAATGAAGCTCTTCGTAGACAGTGAGAGTAAGGACATCTCTGCTAACATCCACACCACCAGTGAAGCACCTCATTTGTCAGATCGCTCAGGAATGTCTTATGAATGAATAGGTCTTTTTTTTTTTTCAAATCAATACAAAATAAATAATACAACAATATGTATTCAAAGAAGTGTTTCATAATGGAATGTATACTAGTCAGGGAGCCCAATATAGTCTGCAGAGTGCATTTTACACTTATATAGTATAATAAAATAGACACTAAACATCTCTATCTAGATGGAAGTCATAATAAGAGCAACCACAATGTAGTCTTAGAACAGAAGGAAATGAAAGAGGGAAAGAAAATACATTAGGAAGAGTAAAGTAAGTAAAAAGGACTTAATGCTGTATGTTTCAGGTTCATTCTGGAGTTACCTCACAATCTAATCCTAAAAATATGATCTGCCTCTCTGAAAATCAAATGCCAGATTTCGCATTTGTGTATAAATGGGTATAAATGGGTAACGTTAAGTCTGCAGTATCAGCAACTTTGCAATGAAATTCTATTAGGTACATTACATTTCAAACTTCAAATTATACATAACAGACAAAACAAATGGCGGAGTCTAAAGCGCTACTACCCTTTGGGAACGGGGAGGGGGGGGGAGGTAGTTGATGGAGGTTTTCTGTCACGTCAGATGCTCCGTTTGATGTTAATGACGAGAGGGAGACAGAGGTAACACATGAGGCATAAGTGATGGTGCCAGAGAAAAAGAGAGTGTAGTAACTCACCATGATGTTCACATGGGTGTGCCGTTATCGACGTCCGGGTCTCTGTGGTGGGGGCTTGATCCTGTGGATTCCTCTGGGTTTGATCGAAGTGTGTGCTGGCTCCGTCGGTTTGCTGGAGGGCCACTGATGAGGTGGTGATGGCGTCCGTTGGTGCCGGAGAGGTCCCGTCAGGTCCGAGGATGGAAGGGGGGCGCTGGTTGGTGTCCTTCTCTGTGAGGTGGTGATGTCGGCCGGTTACCTTCGATCAAACCCAGAGGAATCCACAGGATCAAGCCCCCACCACAGAGACCCGGACGTCGATGACGGCACACCCATGTGAACCTCATGGTGAGTTACTACACTCTCTTTTTCTCTGGCACCATCACTTACGCCTCATGTGTTACCTCTGTCTCCCTCTCGTCATTAACATCGAACGGAGCATCTGACGTGACAGAAAACCTCCATCAACTACCTCCCCCCCCCTCCCCGTTCCCAAAGGGTAGTAGCACTTTAGACTCCGCCATTTGTTTTGTCTGTTCTGTCTCTCAAGTTGGACACCCCGGTCCACACTGAAACTAAAGTTGCACACCCCCCTGCATACCCCACTACCCCAAAATAAACTTCCTTCGCCGTTTTGGATCATAGCCGGGAGAGCGCTGCCATAGATAGGACTCAGGTCTCAAAACTTTCAAATTATACATGACTATGACTAAGACTATGACATTATCTATATTTTAGAATGGTAACAATTAGACAGGGTATAAGGAAGGGATGCACCAATACCATTTTTTCGTTGTCAAGTACGAGTACCGATACCAGTACTTTCGCTAGCATGGAGCCAGCTTCCCAGGCAATCAGGAAGCCAGGCAGCATGTCATTACCCTCTGCCTGGCTTCATATAACAGCTGCTAAAGCCAATGCAAAATATGGCTTTTCCTTTCATTTAGTTATTTATTAAAAGACATTATATAGAATGCAGTGGGCCTATTTCTGGTAAGCCGCTAGTGCTTTCTGTTGGTACAACTGCTCCCTTAACCTCCGTGTTCACTCTCCATCCAGGAACTTTTTACAAAATGAGGAGGCTAAACAATAGACTCTGCAACAACTTTCTCCTCCATTACAGGGTAGAGCTTCTGATTGACATTGTGCATATGCAGATCAGAAGCTGCAGCATTAAGTCCACTTGACTCAAACTGCTTCACGTTAAAATGGAAAGCTTTGATAGTTACTGTTCTTTTACACCCCATTGCCTTTGCATTGCTTTGCCTTTGCATTGCCTTTTATACACCATACCCATTGCCTTACAAAAAGTTTGCACAGGGTACCACAGAACATTAAAGAAGCTCTGCAATACACAACACAGAAGTAACCATATTGTAGGCCTCTAGTTCAAAAGTGCAACTATAAAATACAGATATGAATTGAATGTGTTACCTTCAGTTGTTCGTTCAGAAACACTTGCTGTTAAGGTTTTCAGAGGAGTCAGCACCTGAGGAAGTATAACTTGTAGAGGAACTTGTTTGAATTCTGCAGGCTGAAAAACCAATGTAGAATCAAAAGCAATTTCTTGAAGCTCAGCTTCATCTGCATTCTTGGATCCTATTGCAAAGGTCAGGATTCCCGCCCGCTTGAGAGCCAGTGATGGCTGGACAATGTCATCTCTTGATTGTCCACCAGTGATGAGTACAATAAGCTGTGGGATTCCTTCATCCACACGGCTTCCTGCAGATGCAATAAGGAAATTTTTCTGGACATAGCTCAGAGCAGCACCGGTATTTAATGGTGTGGTATTCAAAATCTTCATCTTTTTCAAATGCGCAAGGACCTCCTTTTTGGCACCAAAGCTGTTCAGGTAGAATTCTGGTTTTACATCTCTGCCGTACTGGGCCAATCCTACTTGAACAAGATCAGAACCAATTTCCAACCTGTTGACTATCTTTATAATTAATTCACGGATGGCAGAAAAACTTGGCCCTCCAAGATCACTGGAACCATCAATCAGGAACATTATGTCCCTCTTGTTGACTTCAGTAACTGCAAGGCAAAGATATAAGTAAGTAAATCTACAAAAATGCATACATGCTCCAATACATTTTAAGTTTACTGAAAAGCTGTAATTAAAATGGGAACTCCACACAAATCAAACAATTTGGGAAGGTAGGGTATGTCTGTCATGTGGATTTTACTCACCTATGAGCTCTTCTAGCTACAAAATGTTTTCCCAAAATCTCACCAATTATAGAAAACGGGAACAAGAAGGGCTTGGTGTGAAATGGAAGATGAAGGCAATAGGGGCATGTCAGCATAGCAGTCACATTTTTCCCAGGTCCATTTTAATTGGCTGAACAGAGTTTGTGTGGAGTTCTATATTCTTTACTGCTATTTTTAAATGTTTATAATAATTATTGACATTTTTCTAAAAAATATTATTTTAGAGAAAAAATGTACAGAAAGCCAGCTGTACATGGTATATGAAAAAAGAGGAGAGAAAAAGCACAACTTTTGCCCATAGCATTTAAACGTAAGAAAATAAAAGTAAACACCTTTTTAAATGCTTTTGGCATTACCTGTTCTTTTTCTTCCCTTCAGTGTGAGAGACAATGTTTATTTTACGGTATGGTTGCATATCAAGCTTTTCCTGTGATCATAATGTATATCCTGAATTATAGCTTAGATATTTCAAAATGGTAGAACAGGTGATCTTAATCCTTAAGCCTCCTATATATCTTATCCTAGAATTCAATCTGAACTCACCAACATGAGTGTATAGATCCTACCTACCTTCTGTTATAACAGTTGGAGGCTGTAAAACAATTGTCCTTTGGGCTACTCCAGCAATGTATGGAACAATTTGGCTTTCCAGTTGACCCAAAACCTGGAACTGGGGCACGGTAAACACAAAGGACTCATCGGTTGCAATTTGCTGCAATTCATTGTTGTCTGCTCTTTCCGCACCAACGCCAAATGTGATGACACTGTTAAGTCTTAAAGAATTGGCAGCATCTCTCAACTCATCACTTGACGGCCCACCAGTGATGATCATTAGTGATTGAGGGACTCCTTCCTCTCTTCGGCTTCCAGCAGCTGAAGTAAATAGCTGCTCCACCACATACTCAACAGCAGCCCCCATATTTGCCTCTTCTCCTCCAACATACTGTAATCTCTTCAGGGCATTTATCAGCTCTTGTTTGGTAGTATGTTCATCCAAGGTAAATTCTATTTTGACATCATCACTATACTGCACCACTCCTATTTGTATCCGACTCCTTCCCACCTCCAATCGTCTCTCCACATAATTCGCCAAGAAGTCACGGATGGCATTGAAACCCGTGCGTCCAACATTGTTTGAGCCATCAATGAGGAAAACCAGGTCAGCCGAGTCTGGTGTTAATTATGCAATAGTATTGTTGTGTGGTGGGTTAGGTAAAAGATAGGGATAAGTACCAAAATAACAAACAGAAATGTAGGAGAGAAAAGAAAGAAACGCACAAGGTAAGACTGTTAACTTAGGTGCAGTGAAAACATGCAGATGTACAAAAGTGAATACATGTTTCTCTCCAACAAACTAAGAAACATGATGCAGTGAAAGCAAGGGACATTTACAAGTGCATTTTCAGCTCCTGGAAAACTGCGTGTACTCTAATATCCTGACACCGATATTACATTATACACATATCTTATTTTGTAACATATTGGCTGACAGCATTATATGAACAATGATCACATGTGTCCAATAAGTGACCAGTACTCTTTAGAGCTCCCTGCAGTTTAGAACTGATATTAATTTCAAGAAATGTCCCCAGCCAATCAAGTGACTAGCACGTGCTTGGCAATATTTGGACGTTTGCTGATTGCACTGGATATTTTGGCGTGCTGGTGACATTTCTTGAAATTTGTATTGTATCTCACTGCGCCAACAGTGGTCATTACAAGCACCCACCTGCATTTTTGCATGGGAACTTATCCGGTAAGGAGTTCAGCAAGACATCTTTTCATAGAACTGATATTAGCCTGCATCAAACCATATAACATCATGGGATTATTTGGGCCCACTCTGTCCACCACACCGGACCTTAGACCTAGAAGGTACCAGGTATGCCCATATTTGGAATTTGAATAACTATTAGGCATAGCCATATTTATCCAGCAAACATATTTAGCCACTGACATGTCAAGCTACTGCTTTAATCATATAGCTTCTTTTGAAATAAGCTCACTTCTCTGAGCCATGATGCATATGTTATTTATCACATAGATTATTATTTTTAGCCATGTGACTTATTTTTAGGTTTTACTGCTCAAAATAATGGCTGTTACATCAAATATTTATTAAAGTTTAATTAATTTAATGGATTGAATATAATTTTCTGATTGCAGTTTTGCTTCTATGACACTAATGTCCAAAAAGAGTCAACATTATTCAACAGTTATTATTTTGGTAAAAATTATCAAGTCAACATATACAAGTGTCACCAGCAGTTTACGTCAGGAACTGGAATGCTTGTAGAGTGTCCTGAGCACCCACTACATAGTATCTCAGTTTCATTACATGATAGCAACATTTAATATCAGCGTTCTGCATTCTTGTTGGATAGGAGTTACCAGACTCCTAATAATAAACAAAATAAGTAAATGTGAGAATGAAGAGACCTCTTTAATGTCTAAGACTGTGTGACAGAATGCTACACCTTCGAGGATATGACAAAGGAACTGTAGATCTACAGATATCACATGACTGACCATTAGGTTCTGCCACATCAAATCAATAACTTGCAACTTTCTTTTACTGTTAGATCTGATTATGTTTAATGTACATTAGAACTGTAGCCCACGTACTGTGGTCAGGTCGTAAAGGTAACAGAAGTGCCCAGTGTCTGCACAGAGCAAATGTTTATGTTTTTACTTGCATTGTTTTTACTTAATGAGGCCACAGACATTATTGACAGTGGTATAATGTCTGTGAAACTCCCTCCAATACAACCCTTCTTGGAGAAGGAAGCCATTGAAAAGAAATCCTTATCAGATCACTATTGTTTCCCCTCCTCCAACATTTGCCTAAACATGACCACTTGAATGATGTGGGCTTTACTGTTTAAGGCCATAGCTGAGCCAACAGATATTGTAAGCTGGATGGTGCATGAATTTAATCAGATGTTGATAGCCAGCATTACAGTTGTCATGTAATTTTGAAATCGTATAGGATACACTACCTATGAGAGGTTTTTGGTTTTTATGATATTCATGTCCTTTGGGTCATAATTATAGAGACTATTGTCCACAATGGATATGATAACACTGGGCTATAATCAAAGTCATTTTGTTTTTTACCCTATATATACTGAACATTTTTCATTTAAAGAGAACTGAAATCTAATTGCATACAATTTTCTGGCTGTATTGGGTGATTGAAGCAACACAGATAAATACTGTAAATTAAACTTTTTTTAGCTGCATGAAGTTAAATTTTCAGCATAAGCTTTCCGGGGTCTACCCATTCCTCTAAGGTCCAAACAGTACTGACACCTAATTGTACTTTAGAAGAAGGAACAATAGGCAACTGCATTGCACTAATACACCTACAAATGCAAGCAATATCTAATTGGTGATTGTCTCCTTAGAGGTGTATGTTTATGCTTATATTGCTCAACCACATTCTGCTGCGTACAATATACGTGGTATTCTATCAGCTGCCTACACTATATGTAAATGCAAGTTTATATTTTACCTGATCTTTCCATGGTCTGTAATGTCTCAATGTGTTTAGCTTAAGAGGTCTATATCAGTCACACTATTTTTTTGGAAGACCTGGTAAACAATTATTCAAACAAATAATGCAGAATCTTGTTAAGGCATTAACAACAATACCAGTGATGACCAGATTTATTCCAAGACTCCAGATTTTTTTCATATTTATTTTCTTATACAAACCAATAATGCTGTTGCTAAAGCCGAGACAAATAACCTAACAGGCTTTATGAAAAGGCCTTTGTAATCCTACATTCACACGTAGACATTTTGTTACATAAAGCTAATTGTGACAAAACACTTAAGACAAGGAATCCCATTAATTTCTATGGCCCCTGCTCACACCTCAGCATTGTTTGGTCCCATATACTTCAATGGGAAGTTCCTGCTAATTACGCATTTCAAGCTTTTTTGTGCATTTTGTTACACAAAGTTTCACACTGAAGACTATAGGATCAAAAGTGCTGTAATATGCCAAGTAGCTTATGTACTTTTTCCAGTAACTGCCGTTTTTCTGCTTGCGACAAAATGCTCAGGTGTGAACAGGGGCCATAGAAATTAATGGGATTCCTTGTCGTGAGTGTTTTCCTGCGCTTAGCTTTGGGCAACAAAATGCCTAGGTGTCAATGGGAGCTTAGGAAATTGACTAAAACAGGAAAAGACAAATCCTGGATCAGCTGTGTATTGCAACCAATCAGCTTTTATCTTTCATTTTAAACACTTAACTGAACAAACTGAAGATAGAAGCTGATTGGTTACTATGCACAACTGCTCAAGATTCTGTCTGCTCCAGCTTAGAGAACTTCTCCTACTGTATGCTATCAATAATTATTTCAGCTGTAATCAGTGGGCTGAGGTAGTTACTATGCCATCTAGATTTCCATACAGAAAACTGATCATCTATGACCTAATATGTAACAAAATATTTGAATCTTTTTATCTATCTATCTATCTATCTATCTATCTATCTATCTATCTATCTATTATTCATTGACACAGGGACAACATATCACCATGGGTTATTTAGTGCCACCATCATATAGAGTGGACACTAGGCCAAAATCAACTGTAGGCCACCCCCTAGGTGCTATATAACCTCTACCACATCAACCATGCTACAGTTATAGTCAAGCAATGTAAAAAATTTGTATAACATGCAAATACACATTAACGGAGGCAGCTGTGTCTGGATTTTACATTGAGTACAAAACTCCAGTAAACTTGCATGGCTACTGTTTTTACATGTTTGTTAACAATAACTGTAGTAAAAAACTGAAAGAGATTTATGTATAAATTTTACAGTCTTTCTGGATGGTCATTGGACATAGATGCAAAGTCATCACTGTGTAATATAAACAGTCAACATGAAAAAAACATCCAATGGCTGAAGTTTCACACAGACCTCCACATTAAAAAATATTATATATATATA